TATACTCTTTAGTAGCTTTCCTTCTTTTCTAATTAGTTAATATATACCTTCTTACCCTTATTCTATTACTCTTTTTACGAATAACCTATTAACCTAAGCTTAGCTCTCGCTAGCTACGTAATACGATAAGAATAACGATTTTATAGCTTAGAAAGTAATTAAAGGATTAAAAACTATCTATATAATAAAAGAGCTAGGGCTAGTAAGCTAGTATTTAGGAATTCGGGTAATACGTAATCGCGAAAACCGGACGATAACCTTAGTATACGACGCCTACGTCGAGAAGATCGTAGGTCGCTTTAACTTAGCGGATAATAACTAATTCCTTATAATATTATTACCGATTATCGAGCTTATGAAATTCATAGGCGTCGCGTCGAAGTAATAAATTAAGGAATATTAAGAAAAAGTAGGATCGTTACTCTATAGCGTAATTATAATCCGCCCGGACGTAGCTTTTGCTACGTTATAACTATCTTACTTCCTTACTAATCCGGGACCTTAGTATATAAAAGCCGTTAATTAAGCGATTAAATACCTTTATATTACGCGCTACCTTAGCATTAGGTATAAGGGTAAGAGTAATAATATATAAGCGTTATTAATCGCTAGCGACGCTTTTTTCGTAAACGATTTAGAAACTAGAAAATCGTTATAAGGCTATATTATATCGCTCTTTAAAGGCCCGATAGTATGAAAGGTAGCTCGCTAAGCTATAGTCTCGACGTCGATAACCGAAACTAAGCTCTTAGGATTAGAGTATATAGCTAAGGAAACGATAGCTTTAAAACGCTTCTTTAGGAATATTACTTTAGATTTAAAAGAGCTATAGATAATTTATAGCGATAATTAATAAACCATTAAATTAATCGTAGAAGATAAGGAAAGAGTTAATATAAGGCTCCGCTATATAGATATATAATATTTATAGCTCCGATAAAAGCGATAAAAGGGCTCCTTTAAGGTACTTTATTTACTTATAAGGTAAATACCGACGGATAAACTAACGAAAGTTCTTCTTCGTTAATTATTCGAGTATTTTAAATCGTTACTTAACCTTTAAAATATAAGAGGAGAGATAACGATATTAAAGCTCTTAAATAATACGAAAGTAACGTAGGATTTTAGTTTAATTATAAGAAGAACTAACTTAGAATAATATACTTTACTTAAAAAGTAACGTAGGAATATTAATCTAAAAAGAATTTACGCGTAATAAGACTTTTCCCTTTAACGAAAGAGCTAACTTATATAATAAAGCTAATATAATACTCTTAAAGCTCCCGAAAACCTAACGACCTTTAGAGCTACCGGCTCTAGTACCTAGTCTAAGGTTATATTTATTTTTAAAATTACTTAACTTAGCCGGAGCTAAGGTATTATTAGTTTTATTATTATTAAACCGTATATAATTATTCGAAGCTTAATTTAATAATATCCGGGTTAGTAATAGCGGGAATAAAGCTCTAAGCGGAAGTAGCTTTTCGCTTAATATTAACTTATATATTCTAACGGAAACGAGCGAACCGGCGAGGAGTACGGATAGCGCGTTATCGGCTAACCTTACTACGGACGCGACTACCGCGAGTACGAGAGTTACGAGGGGGACGGGTCGGAGTTAAAACCTATCTACGTTTAATAAGAGAGCTATCGTCTTAAGCGAGAGTATCCGTAGTCGCTTATCCGCGTAACGATTCGATAATAAGCGGTAATATAGGCTAACGCTATTATTCGGGATAATATTAACGAAGTAATTCCTTTATTTCTTCGCAGAAAACGATAGTTTAAAGTAATATAGTTAAAAAAAATAATCTACGATAAAAGAAGCTCGGAACTTACTACCTTAAAGTTAAGGTCGGTTATTTAAGCGGCGATAAGCCGTTAAGTAAGACGTATAACGCGAGGGTAATTATAATTAATTAACTTTCGACGAAACCTTATATAGCTTTAAAGGATACTTATAAAGCTACGTAAGAATAACTACGCGAATAACGTAAGTAACGATTAATAAAAGCTAAAGATTAGAAATACTTTTCCGTCGAACGATGCTATATAGCGCTATTAATATACCGATAATAAGGGATATCGTTACGCGGGCCGTACTTTTCGGTAATAGCGGGAAATAGCGAGGCTATATTACTATTAGCTCGGGTAGCTCGACCGATTCCTTTAAACGTAGGCGATAGTTCGGTAGCTCCTTAAGAACTAAATCGTATTAAAAGCTTTCGAGAAACGCGAGTAATAAGGATAAAACTTAGCTCGGTTAACTAACGGATAGTAGTAAAAGTAACGATAGAAACCGTTTCGAATTTAAAAAAGCTACCTTTATTAAAAGCTTACTTTTTAAGCGCGAATATAGAAAAAGAAACCGAGCTAGGAATAAGAGTAGAAACGGCGGTAGCGCTAGCGCGATAACGCTTCCCTAGATTCGGTATAGTATCGTTAACGATAAACGAGCGATTATTAAGCTATCCGTAACTTAGAAGAAAAAAAAAGCCGCCGGCTTTCGTTAAGCGAATAAACGTCGGCGCGACGGCGGTAATAATAATAAGGGAATTATCCTTCCCGCCCCGAGCTCCCGTAAGAATACCTAGTATATATAGCGACGGTTTAATAAGTACTCGGTACTCGCCGATAGTTTCCTTAAGAGCTATTAATACGGCGGCGGCTTAAGCTTTCGAAATAAAAACGATTATTAATTCTTATTCGGTTATAATAATAAGCGCTTAATAGGATCCCGAGGTAGCTTAAATAACTACCTCTAAGTCGTTTTCGGAATCGCCTTTTATAAAGTTATCTATAATTTCTACGTCCCGAGGTATAAACTCGGAAGTATTACCATTATTATTTAGCTTTATAGTTTCGTACTTGCGAATAACGCGACGGACCTCCTTTCGTTTTAGATCTTTACGTACTTACTTTCGTTTAATATAACGGACTCGTTATTTACGGGCCTTACCTCTAAAGCTACTTTCCTTACGAGCCCGCTTACGAAATACGGCCTTAGGCTTTAGTATAACGGGAAAGGCTTTAAGAAGTAAAGGGATACGGCGGGTTATACGACGCTCGAGGGAGCGTAGTTCTATAATATTCTATACTATAACTAAACCTCGGTCGGAAATCTAAAGTAAATAATTAATTAAAGGCTTATAACTTATAGTAATTATAATATAAGAGCGGACTTATATATCGGTAAATAAATTACTTTTCCTTATCGCGGTATATAAAGAGATTATTAATACCGGTATTAAAAGGGGAGCTACCTATAATAATTACCGAAATATATATATTAATTACGATATCGTAAGTAAAGTTATTTAGGTAATCGATAATAACGTCGAGGAATATATTACGTCGTTCCTCGGCGGCGTTAGAAGTAATAACTAAAGTAGTTTTAACGGCCGCGAAAGTACCTAGGATAGCGATAGCTTCTTTTATTACGGTAGATTAAGTAACTAGCTTTACGTATTCGGCCGGACCTTAGTTAGGTATAACGGGATCTTAAGCTCGCTCTTCGACGAATATTTAGGCATAGTTACGGAATTAATTTATTTTATCGCTTAGTATCTTAGCCGCGCTATCGATACTAATAAGAATCTCGTAGGAGTTAAAACGGTTAGATATTCTATCGAATTATTAGCTTCTAATTACTTATATCCGTATTAATATTACTAAAGCGTAAGCTTATCTTACTTCTTTCGCTTATTATATTAATATATAGCTTACGTTAATATATTACTATAAGTTCGCTACGATAACAAGCGATAATAAAAAAGTACCGTAATTAAAAGATAACTTATTTAAATAAAATACGCGTAAATAAAATAATATATAGGTTATATACGTAACCGAGAGCGATAGGGAATTAAAAAGAAGCGTATCGGATTAGCTTTAGATATGCCTCTATAAAAGAAAAGAGAAAAGAAAGAGAGCTACTACGAAAGAGTAAGAGATTTTTCTCTTATAATATAGGAGCTTAAGTATAGGAAGAAGCGTTATCGGATATTAACCTAGTAAAGCTACGAAAAGGTTCGCGTACGATAATAATAATATAAAGCGAAGTAATAGAAGCCCTCGTAAACGTATAACGAATACGGTAGATATATTTAATTAAAAGCTACGATATATTTCTTTTATTAAGATATTAGGAAAAGCTAATATAATAATTAATTAAGAGGATACTTTAAGCTATTAAGAGTATTAAATAAAGGCGTAAGTAATTAAAGCGACGAATATATTACTTCTAAAAGTTAATAAAGCGAGTAAAGCTCGAGCTAACCTAGGACTTTAATTAAAAGGATAGCTAAGCTAATTATCGCGAGCCCTTCGGTTAAGTTACTATCATTATTCAGCTAAGCTCGCTATCGCGAGCCTAGCTAGGGGGTATATTATATAAAGAGCTACTTATATATAGCTCCTTATTCCTTCTCGAGTTACTCGCTTACCTAATATAGCTCTTAATTCGCTTATATAACATAGCTCGTAGCTCCTTATCGTTTATATATAGGTAACTCGTATCTCCTTTATTAATCTCCTTCCTTCTTAAATAGTTAGTTAATTTACCTTCTTCTTCCTACCTTCCGTTACTCCTAAGAAGCAACCTCAGTACCTACGTAGCTCTCCTAATCTACGTATCAAATATAAAAATATAAAAATATAATTAAAATAAAGTAAATATTTTATATAAATAATAATAAAAATTCAAATTATAATTAATATTAGAAGAAATTTTTAGAAAAAAATAATAAAAATTTAAGTTTTTTTTAAGTTTTTAAATTAAGTTTTAAGTTTTAAGTTAAGTTTAAGTTTTTTTTTTAAAAAAGTTCAAGTTAAGTTAAGATCGGCCCGAACTTAACTTAAAAACTTTTTTTTGCAACCCTGCATATAAGTAATATCTCCTCGGCCGCGATAACACACGTACTCCATCGCACATCGCATACGTGCATATGTATACATACATACCTACATAAGGCAGGTGCGTTGCATCGACACTGACATCACCACAACAACTTACCGATGCTAACTAAGGCCGGACAGCGATATCCAAGTCTTCCCGGAGGCGACCACGTAGCCACCGGCCTCGTCCTGAAACATCCACGTACGACGATGACCGTCGGTCGCTATGGCTAGCAATCCCTTTTCTGTCCTCGATCCCTCCCCCGGCGATCCCTCGGCATCCCCTACCGATGTGCCGCCGTCCACTACCAACCACCAAGCTTCCAAGAAGAAGCACCGTAGCGGCCGAAAAAACAGGCGATCGAGACGGAAGTCCTTCGCTGCACCTTCGAGGGAGATGCAGAGCGATGGCCTGCCCCCGCCTGGCCACCCCAGTAGCAGACCTAGCTTCTATATGCACGAGGAAAACCAGAGTCATACAAGCATCGATAGCGACGTACCGCTTGGCCACAGGTGTGATACCGATCGATACCCCGTCCCGGGGCCGTTGACGGAGTACGATGCTAACTGCTTTGTAGAGACCGCCAATTCCTGCGTCCGAGACGGCCTTCGACTCTCGCCACTTCCCTCCAGTTGCCGCAATCCACGACTCGGTTACGCAGACCACACGGCGGGCAAGGCCGTGGGGACACCGAAGATGACGACGAGTCGGCGCCTCTGTTGTCGGGCTCGTCTAGAGTAGAGGTCGATTCTACGCGTGGATACGGCTTAAATGACGTACGGCGACCGAACGAAACATCCACTAGCAGCCGTCCTAGTTCCACCAGGTCGAGCAAGCGGCCTCATCTAGGTCACCCGACCCCGTCTGGGGGATACAACGTTAACTACCCGCCGTCTATTCCCGGCACACCTCCTCTCGGACCTTCCGACCGGATTGACATGAATTTCGGGGATATCATGATGCGGGACGAGCTCGTGGAGGGCCCTTCACACTCCAATAGCTTGCTCGAAGAACGGCCAGACCCGCTCCTCGAGCAGTTGCCCTTCGAGAGACGGCACACGATCGCGTTACAGGCCCAAGAAGATGTCTGCTTCCCCCACGATGTCATGTCGGAGTTGGCCGACGAGGACGCTCATCAAGCCCGGGACAACCCAAATCACCGGGCCCGGCGACGAAGACGCAACAAATGGCCAGACTTGGCGACTCTCGAAGAGTGGTCCAGGCTTGAGAAGGAAGGCCGCAGCGAAGGGAGACGTATGAAGAAAATTACGGAACCGCAACTAGTCAACGGTAGGTTGCGGCCTGTCCACAAGGGATGGTACCGAACAGAGGAAGACGCACCATATCGCTTCACCTATTTCAACGAAGAGTTTCAAAGCACCATCCACAGTCAGAACATATCCGAACTCGCTCAGCCCGACACTAGTTTTAGGGAACTTTTTATCCCCGACCCTCCACTTCTGTCTGACGATTCATCAGATGGAGAGGATGAACCCCTCATACAGGTTTCTAACAGCGCTAAGGGCGGCAACATGGCCTCGAAAGCACCGTCCCGGCAACCGCCTGCACAGCCATTTTCGATGCCGAACACCGTATTACCTGAGGCCCGCCCCGACGTCCTTTTTTCTTCTAAGCAAAAATCGACGCCTGCGGCTTCGTCTAAGGATATGTCGGGTGACGCGAGCCCCGCGCGCTCTAGATCCCCTCTGCACGGCTTGAAATCACCACCCTTGGGTGGCAAGCAACCACGGTATGGCGAGCGCCCGGTCTGGTGGTTGGATGTGTTAAGCCCCACGGAGGCAGAGATGAAGGTGCTGGCAAAAGCCTTCGGCATTCATCCTCTGACGTCGGAAGACATCATGCTTCAAGAGCAGCGTGAGAAGGTCGAGCTGTTCAGACACTACTATTTTGTCAATTATAGGTCGTTCGATCAGGATGCGGAATCGGAAAACCACCTAGAACCGGTCAACATGTATGTCGTGGTGTTCCGCGAAGGTGTCATCTCGTTCCACTTCAGTCAAACGCCGCACCCGGCCAACGTCCGCCGCAGAATACGCCAACTCAAAGACTTCATGATTCTCAGCTCTGATTGGATCAGCTACGCGATCATCGACGACATCACCGATGTTTACTTGCCGCTGATTCAGACGATCGAAGATGAGGTAGACGACATTGACGATAGAATTTTACAGCTGCATTCATCTTCGGACCCGACGCTTCCAGGCCCGCAAAAGAAACGTGGAGACAACGAAAAGAGTATGTCGGCGGAAGGGAACGCAGAGTGCGACGGAGACATGCTGCGCCGCGTCGGCGACTGCAGGAAGAAGGTCATGAGCCTATACCGGCTGCTGGGAAACAAGGCCGACGTGATCAAGGGGTTCGCGAAGCGCTGCAACGAACACTGGGAGATCGCCCCGAGGTCAGAAATCGGGTTGTATCTCGGCGACATCCAGGACCACATCGTGACCATGACGGCCAACCTAAGTCACTATGAGATGTGAGTATCGCCGTCACCTAACTAATTTCGCGAAGCCACAGCTAATTCCTGGCTAGGATCCTGGCACGTTGCCACGCCAACTACATAGCGCAGATCAACATTCGCATGAACGAACGTCAGGAACAGACAGCCGACGTCTTAGGTAAGCTCACTGTTCTAGGCACTATCGTCCTGCCTATGAATATCATCACTGGCCTCTGGGGGATGAATGTTTGGGTCCCGGGGCAGGAGTACGAGGGCGACCCCGCGTGGTTCTTTGCCATCGCCTTCGGTCTCATCGTCTTCGGACTCGCCTGCTTTCTCGTCGCGAAGAGAGTGTACGGCATCGTCTAGAGCGGCTGGGGAAAAAAAACGACAGGGGGCAAGAGAAAAAAAAGAAAGAAATGGCAGCGTAGCGGTTGCACATACAACTGTGTATAGGTATATATTATTGCATTTTGATAATGAGCGTCTACTCAGAGGTATAGAACGTGGCCGTGAAGCAGCCTCATTGGGTATCAATAAGAAGGGGGGGGCTCGGGTTGGCGTCGCTGGATAGGGAAATGCAGGAAACCGAGCAGACAGCTCAAGGAAGCTTACAGAGCAGGCCGGTAGGCTGGTTGCTTTTACGACTAGACTAGATATCTATCATTAATAAGCTCTCCCGGTGTGCGTAGAGTTACGTATAATAACTTACCTTCCTTATCTTCTCCTCTCCGTCCCTAGCAGAGTTGCTCAGTCCCTCATTATATGTACGTTCAACCCGCCTATTGTCGCATTTATGTGCTCGACTTGTGGCTGATTAGGGACTTGACCTTCAGACGTGGCTTATGATGTACTGGACCAGGGCAATACGCTTATGTAATGGCGGCTCAATCAAAACGCAGCATTATTGGTCAGCCTCGACCTTGGTAGACTCTTGGCTTATTTTTGCCGATTGCCACTTCTGACCTGGAACGTTCGCCGCCGCCAGTAAGTACATACCTATATAAGCGCCTAAGCCCGACACACAACGCATTCGTTTGGCCAAAAGCATTAACCAAAATCCATCGACCTTCTCGTGGGCGATTCTCGTGTCGACTACCACCACGCGTTAACTATTACCGTCGAGACAAATCGATCAAGCATCGCCGAACCTTTCCCCCCCCCCCCTCTTTCAACCTCTTCCCGAGCGATAATCTCGGCCTTCGAACCGACTCACCTCGCCAAAACCAGACGACGCCGGCGCAAGGGCGGAGGAGGAACGCGGCACGATGGCGAACTTTCTGGCGTCGATCTTCGGGACGGAGCAGGACAAGGTGAACTGCTCGTTCTACTACAAGATCGGGGCGTGCCGGCACGGGGACCGGTGCTCGCGGAAGCACGTGAAGCCGTCGTACTCGCAGACGATCCTGCTGCCGAGCATGTACCAGAACCCGGCGCACGACGCGCGGGCGCGGCTGACGGCGGAGCAGTGCGCGAACCACTTCGACGCGTTCTACGAGGACCTGTGGTGCGAGCTGTGCCGGTACGGGGAGCTGGAGGAGCTGGTGGTGTGCGACAACACGAACGACCACCTGGTGGGCAACGTGTACGCGCGGTTCAAGTACGAGGACGCGGCGCAGGCGGCGTGCGACGCGCTCAACTCGCGCTGGTACGCCGGCCGCCCGGTCTACTGCGAGCTCAGCCCCGTCACCGACTTCCGCGAGGCCTGCTGCCGCCTCAACTCGGGCGAGGGCTGCGTCCGCGGCGGCTTCTGCAACTTCATCCACCGCAAGAACCCCTCCCCCGAGCTCGAGCGCGAGCTCTCCCTCGCCACCAAGAAGTGGCTCAAGATGCGCGGCCGCGACGAGAAGAGCGTCAGCCGCAGCCCCAGCCCCGAGCCGGCGCGCAAGCGGTATTAAAAGAGAGGAGTGCTGGGGCGGGGGGACACATTTGCAAGCATCAAGGGTATCTAGGCAGGATTGCGTGTTTTTTTCTTCTTTTCTTATTCTTTTCTTTTTTTGTTCTTATACGTGCCCCCGCGAGGCTGCGAGACTGGAAGGCTGTCGAGAGGGGAAAGATGCCCCCCCCCCCCACGGAGGGGGATTAAGATCGGACGCCAAGTAATGGACGAAACGAATACAATGGATGCCCGACATTAGACTCCTCTTCTTAAGAAGAGGGAGCGGAGGGGCGAGTTTAGGAGGAACTACGGGGTACGCCGACACGCCCACGCGACGCAAGCAGAGACGGGGTGGCGAGACGAGGCAAGGGAAGGAGAAGAGGAAAAGAAAATTGCCACGTTGGAGTTGGGAGCTGCGTCGAGCCATCCGCCCTCCCGGTGGCTTACTGGCGAGCGCGACAACGATCGCACGGAGAGCGAAGCTCCTCAGCCCGGCCCTCTTTCTACTTAACAACTTCACAGCTCGCTTTCTCGCTTGCTCGACTCTTCAGCAGGGCGAATCAGGCCGCCTTCCCCCCTCGCGACGGCTGTGTCCCCCTTCTCGCGGGCAGCTAGCACAAACCTATCTACCTACCCACTCGAGCCCGAACCCGACTACCCCCACCCTTCTCTCCCGCTCTCCAATACTATTGCTACTACTGCTGCTGCTGCTATGGACCTCCGCGTCGATGCGAGAGACGCCGGACGCGATGCGGGGCGGGCGGCGCCAAACCATCCGTGGGCAGGTTCTGGAGCCGCGCCGGGTATCGCGATGTGCCGGGACGGCGAGACCCTTCCTGTGGCGTGGTATACCGCTGCGCGCGCGACAGTGCTGCTCTCCGGGGAGGGAATACGGATGCTGCGAGAGGCGCCGAGACTGGGAGAAGGAAAGGCCTGGGCCAGAATGCCAGTAGACCTGTATCTGCATGTAGTCGATAGACAAATAGCCGACTGCATCTAATAGTCGTAAAGAGTGAAGTCTGTATGCACGAAGTCTCAATACTGTACCCCTTGCCCCTATTCGCCTTCTATTCGTTTCCCATCTCTCTCTATACATCTACTTATCCTATCCTATACCCAGTTTGTTCGACGGGAATAGTTTCGAATCATGTGTGTGTCATCTTCATGTGTTGTATTGCAGCGCATTGTACTTTATCTCGCCCAAGTCCAGCAACGCCCTCATCCCTGCCCTAGGGGGCATTCCCCGCCTCTGTCTCTTTCTCTTCCTCTTTCTTCTTCACCCCCCTTATTTCTTCAGCCTTTCCATCTATCAAGCCCGACTTTCCCTCCTCTCAATTTATATCACAAGCCTCCCTTCCTTGATATATTTGCAGATACTTATGAATAATCTCTAATGAACCCTATCCCCCCCCCTCTCCTCCCCCTGGACCTCCTTCCACACCTGTGCGCGGCGCTAAACCAATAAGAAAAAGAAGAGAAATATACCCTGTTCCCTCACTTCCCCCGCCCTGTCTATCGGTCGGCTTATTACTGCTGCTGCTTTCGATGGTGAAGCGTGTTGCTGATGTCGTATTTATCCCAAGATCGCTGGTAAGTAGAAATTAGGGGTGGAAGAAGAAACCCTAGGATGGTCGAACACTTAACGATCACTGGCCCATCTTCGAGCCCTTACCCTCGTCCTAACCAGTATACAGCCCCCGTCCCGTTTGTTCCTGGGCTAAATGGCGTCGGTAACAGGAGATCGCTTGAGTTCTCCCCGATAGCGCGCTAGACTCGGAAAGAGGCCGTATAGGTGACGTATAGATAAGGCTACGATGACGGGAATTCAGAATGTTATTTTTTTTTTCTATGTCCGCATCCCGTAAGCGCGATCAGGTAGGTAGGCTCCCCCACCCTTCCCAAAAAGGTCGAATTTGAACTGACCGCGCATCATCCTTCAGCGTCGAAGAAGCGCTCACGACTCTCCGCTGTTTCCCCTCGCCTTATCTCCGGGCTCGGCCGCAGCTGGGTCGGTGGCAGGCTCTTCTTCATATCGCTCGTGAAGTCGATCAGGGAGTTGCTCTCTTGGCCATGGCTCGTCGGCTGTAACGCGCTCGAGGTGTCGGTAGACGCGTTGCCGTTGCTCTTAGCCTGTGGCTCGGCACCTGCGACGGTATCTTCGTTCTGGCCGAAGTCGATCAGATCTCCCTGACTGCCGCTTAACGGGAGGTCTTGGGCCGGGTGGGGATGGCTGGCGGATGGGCTGTGTGGGATCATGTTAAAGTCGCTAGTTACCTGTCCCGGTAATATTGGGTAGATGGCCATGATTTGTTCAGCTTGCTTGTGCGGCGTCGGGCCATCGCTGTGTTGAGAGTCAGCATATACGCGCCAACATGTTACCAACCTCGGGGTAATAGCACCTACATGTGCGCGTTGATGATCCATTCTAGGTGTTCCATATCTTCACTTGCGCTGCCGTAGTCCTGATCTACTCTCCTGAATAGTCGAGGATGCCATTCCACACCCGCTGCCGTTCTGCCCGCCGCCTCTTCTCTCTGCTGGTCCTCGACCTTGGTTTTTTCCGCGGTCGCTAACTCGTGATTCTTATCCTTGACAGCGCGCGCCGTCTCCTTCCATAGCCTTTGAGATTCTCGCTCGTCTTGTTCTGCCAGCGGCCGGACACGCGGCCTCGAGGGCCTCGCTTTTCGGGCGTCGAAAAACGTATCCTTGCGCCCAGTCTACCCGGCTCATCAGCAGATTGGGACAAAGTCGAGTGTTCTAGGAACCACCACTCACCCTTATGTCCTTGATAGACATTTCCTCGCTCCACAGGCCGGAAATTTCGAAGAGCGCCTGCCCGGTACGGTCGTCCTTTATCGTACCACCGATGGCGTTATACGTCCCGCTAACCCATCCTTTGGTCTTGAAGTCGATTTCGGCCGTGAGACCAAGTTCGGGACACCGCACAACGCTGCGGTCCCCCAATTCGTACTTCATAGCACCAAATAATATCCCTCTGGCATACATGTTCGGCTGCGTGAGCCAGCTGGAAGTAAGCATCTGTCAGCGCATATATTGCGACTCCACTCGCGCACCACTACTCACTACTTCTCTCCCTCCTTGCGATCCTTGCCCCTATTCGTCAAGGTAAGCACGGCGATCCCTTCCATTAGACTCGCAGCCGAGTTTCCCAAGAATCTACTCCTAGGCTTCAGGGTACCGTCTATGCGAATATGGTGGTCGGGGGCCATGTAGAAGTAGCTCGACTTTGGGGGATGATGCGACGTCTGTTCGGATATGTAGTAGGCGCGAGTGTTGTCGGGTAGATCCCAGTAGCAAGAGAATACCTCGCCGAGAATCGGATTCAGAGGTTTCTTGACGCCCCTGTCGCTATAGGTCAGCCAATCGTGTCTGGCGCATTACATCACGGACGAGGCGGGTAGGGCAGGCGTACGGCGGCCTAATATGCCAACCGCTGAGGTAGAATTTGACGACGGAGACGAAGCGCTCGACGGGGTCTTCTATGTCAGGGATGCAGAGGAGCAGCTCGGGGTGGCACATGAAACTATGGTTCGCCTGAGTTAGCCTTAAAAGCTCTCTCACGGGAAGTACAGGGAAAAAGGTCCGGAGCACGCACTTGGTGATCCGCTCCAGCATGCTCCGCGGCTCGAGGATGAAGGTGGGCAAGACAACTCGGCTTAGGTCGGCGCCGGGCCGCAGTTGGGAGATGATGTGGGTTAGCACTGCTCACGCTATTAGCCACGGCGGGTATCGGGGGCCGGAGGGGGGGGGGGGGGGGGCTAACCATTGCCCTGATCAGGCTCGATGACCGTAGTGCCGTCGTCGTCGAGGCCGTCCATGGACGATCCGCTGCCTGGGTTATGCCGCCGGCAAGGGTTAGCAAGCGAGCAGCCGGGTAGCCGGACGGCAGAGAAGGGGATACAGCGGGGCGAAATAAGAGGGTAGAATCAAGCAAATACAAGGGCATGCTAGCAGAAAATAACGGTAGGCAAACCAGTAGCCATATCTACGCCGCGGAGGGGAGGTGGTGGTGTTTGGAGATAGGACGGGGTTAGCGGGCAGAAATACGTCACCTACTGGCGCTGGCATTGGAGATTGTCCGGCGACGGCGGCCCAAGCCTGACGTAATCCTACTTGCGTGCATGTTCGGTGGCGGCTCTCGCTGGGTTCTGTCTCGGTGTGTCTGTCTCACTCTCTCTCTCTCCGTCTCCTATCGATCCGACACTTTTCCTACCTAACCTGGCCCTTCCGAGGCCAGGCCGTTGCAGGTTTATTAACGAATGGCGACGGGCAGCGAACGGGGGCGGTTCACGCGAAAACGGAGGGTCGCAGCCGTACGTAGTATGGAGGTTCCTAGTTGGAAAGGAGGGGGTTAAACAGGTTGCAGGGGAGGGGGGAGGCCTAGCAGATATGTTGATGTAGGTATGCACGTACTAGCAGCGACGACAAAAACAGCAGCAGCAACAGCAGCAACAGCAACAGCAGCGGTGGTAGGCAAAAACACCCGCGTAATTATAGACAGGTAATAAGGGGTCGGGTCGGGTCAGGTAGGTCTAAACGAGGTAGGTAAATAAGAGAGAGGTTGTAGATAGCAACAGTAGGCGGGATAGGGGAGGCGTCGATATTGTTGACGTATATATGTAGGTATAGGTATGTATACCTAGGTAGGTAGTTATGCATGTACGTGTGTACGTCAATATGTATGCAGAGCGGTACCGAGCGTACCGACGGGAAAGAGAGCTTCTGTGGAAAAGAACCCAGCTTCGGTCGCGGTACTGAATAAATAAAGATTAGGTAGGTACCTACTCGCCTAGCAGGTTACCTAAGGTAGGTAGGTACTTGGAGGTAGTACGTACACCCCATCTAAGTAATACATGCTGGTGCGGACCGTACGGGTATGGGTTCGGACCTGACGGCTTTCCGGCCGCTTATCGATAAAGGTTGATGGCGAAACCAGTACGAGGTCCCCTTGCTACCTACCTTAGGTATCTCCTCCAGGTACCCAACGTAGCAGCCGCCCCTATCTACTGGTATATAGGTATCAATACGTGCTCACATACGTGTATATACAGTATGCCCCCCCCGCCCTCGGCCCCGGTACGGTACTACGCAGGCAGCTGGCCGCTAAGGTCGATAGACAGCGATTCGGGGTGCGAAGATGCGGAAACGAGCAGACCCGAGAAACCCACGGATGCGATAGGGGATGCGATGGATCTGGTCTGGCTGCTGCATGATGCAGGCTGCTCGCTATATATATGTGCCAATTGGGCATCCAGACGAGCCCACACGCCCCAGCTGACCCAACCACCACCAGCCTCAGCGCAGCAGCCATCCCCGTACCGCATTAGCGACGTAGGTACCTACCTGTAGGAGGATGGCATGCAGGACATCCCCTCGTAGTAACCTACAGGTAGATGCTATACCTAATATTCCTATCTATGGTATACCTACCTACCTCCTTGCCTAAGGTTACATTCCCTGACCTAGCCACGCCGTCGAATAGCGTGCCCTACCCAGTACCCATCCCCGCCAACGCTTAAACGGCACTGGCACTGTCACGTCGGTTGCGTCAACGAGCCTACGAGCAGCACCCCCAGGAGCGGCAGGGTCGACAATGACGTATCTACGTACGCCCATGTAATATGTACCTTGGATACCTAGGCTAACTAACATCACTTCCGTAGCTATTTTCGTAGCGATTTTCATAGGTAGGAGGTGCCTAGGCAAGGTGGTAATGGCATACACGTGGGGCTAAAGTATGTGCCCAAGATACATACGCTATGTACCTCTTATCTGCTGTCCTACGGGTGTAGGTCCTTAGGTACCTGCTACCTATGGTAGACGGTAGACCCTATCTACGGCCCTCCCGGAGCTCCCCAACCTATCATCTTCTGTGAAAATGCGACAGCACCGTTAGGAGGTATTTGTCTCGATGACGGACTCAACCCGAATGCCCTCGTCATCCAAAATCAGCAACGCCTGGTATCGGTGTTAACTTATTCTTGTCTTTAGCTTTGATTTTTTCCTCTTTCGATATTTCTGGTTTGTGCCAAAGTTCCTTCAGACAGCAACACTAGCCAGCCCTCCCCGTATTCTTTTTGACGTGTGACGCCCGTCTCTCTCTCGTTCCGATATCACCACCGAAGGGGGGGGGGGGGGGGTATCCTGACACCGCTTTGCCTTGCTTTGCCTTGGGTGCTGGGAATGTTGCAATGCTGCTAGATCAGAGTTATACAGACCCATCTATAATTAATCGTGTCCTCGTTCAATCGTGATCTCCCTCTCGTCTCCTCTCTCTCACTTCGCCTTGCTCAGCCGCGACCCTTTCACCGGTGCCGGGAGGACTGAGCAGAGCCTGTCTCTCTCTGCTGACACTTCGTTAGCTCCTCACTATGCTGTGCAGCGCGATATAGAGGGGATGAACGAGCGCGAACTTACCAAAGTTATCGTCGAACAGGATCGTGATATCGTCATGCTCGCCCGCGAAGTCGGGCATGTCGAGGCACAGGAAGGCCATATCATCCGTCTTCGCTTCGCCTTCGTGCGGAACTCTCGGGAGGGGGAACTTGGCATCAGCCAGCTTCAACCCGGCCTTCCCGTTTCGGCTGAAGGACTCAAACACGTCCGTGCCCTTGAGCACAAAGCCCATGCATTGCCCGTGGTGCCAATCCTCGAAGAAGGCGAGCAGCTGCACCGTCTTCTCCTGCTGCACCAACTGAACGCGCGTGGTGCCGGCTTCCCACTTTTTGTAGATGGGCACCACCATCCTTCGACGCGAGATATTCAGGCTCGCCGCCACGCCGTCGAAGAGTACTGTGTACCCGGTCAACCCTGCCTGGAATGCGTGTAGGTCCTTGAAGCTTGGGAACCGGTACGTGCGCACCGTCTGGCCGCGTTGGATCGTGTTCTGCAATCCCGCGAACTCGCGGGGCGATTCCCGGGGAATTTGCGACTCCAGCATCGAGACTGTCAGATCTGATTGTGGCTGCCGCAGGACCTGTAGCGTGAGAATGTCCTTGGTGCCGAGCCGGAGCCTCAGCTCCCCAGGCGCGACATTGACCCGGTCTGTAATGGTGCTGACCACGCCAACCCCGCCCTTGTCTAGCGAGTCGATCTCAACTCTAAGCTTCTCCGCCAGCACCGTCGGCGGAGTGTCTCCTACGTATTTGTCGTTGATTATGCGCGCACGTTGCCAGGGCAACCGCTGAACAGCCGGGAACCCCCCCTTCGTGTCGCCGACTCCGTCGGACATATTCATACCTTCCAGCGGGACTTCGGCGACTATTTCTTCGTCGTGGTGAACGTAGGTTCCTGTGATCATCCTCAAAAATTTCTCGCGCTCCTGGTCGTCATTGAACGTCAAGACCATTCGTCCTCTGTTCTTGCCGTCGTTGAAATCCAACTGGAGCATCGGTGCACGTTGGTCGTTGCTTAGGGGGGCGAACTGAATAGGGAGCTGCGGTGGGAAAAAATGGGTTATCCCGCTAAGCGTTCGTATTCTCGGGCCGGTGATCACGGCAAGCCGGAAACCCCGGTGGAATGTCCTCGGTCCGGTCGGGCTATTTTCCTTCAGTATCTTTTCGTATAATCCCAGTTGGCATTGGCCCACGGGCTCCTTGGGAAACGACCTTCCTTGCGGATTCGCGTCGATATAATGGAAACCGCGAAGTGTAGTAGTGTGCTTAATCACCTCGTCCTTCTGCTGGTATAGGTAACCTTGAACCTTTGAGCTGAAGTCGTACATACTCCACAGCATCCTGTAGTCCTGTTGCGAGCAGCGGATCGCGAGCATGAAACCTCGAGGCAGCTTAACCTCGAGCAAGCAAGAATCTGGTCTCCACTTGATATCTTGCCACGTTGGACCCGCGCTCTTGTCCGATTGCACCCGTAGGGACACGCAGGTATTCTGGCTCGCGATGACGAAATTTAGGCTTGGCTCGGCTTGCGATCGAAGAATCGACAGCACGCAAGGGAGGCAAGTCTGCGACGACTCCATACCCTGTTCCATAAGGTATACGTCGGCCGTGACTCGGCCGTAGTTGAAATACTTGGCCGTGTCGCCGAGAGGTAGGGCATCAAGTGCTTCCATGTGGCGGGCGGGCTGTCGAGCGGCGGCGAGAACCGATCCCCACACTCCGTTGAGAAGGGCGATGATGTCTTGACTCAGCGACGGGTACTCTACCCAGATAGATTTATCCATCGTCTGCGGCAGGAAAGGCTCTTCCGGCGGGAGAAAGCCGTTTCGTCTCATGGAACCGGATAGCTTCCTCAACTGGTGTATCAATGCTTGGCGAACCTCGCCCAGCTCCCCGTCCACAGGACTATACTTGCCTTCCGCTATTTCGGGAAGCGCCTTTTCCATCAACCAGTAACCCTTTGCTAGATCGGTATAGGCTTGATATCTCGCTATGAGAAGTCGGGTTTCGTTAGGATCGGCCGGTCGACTCCTAATAATAATCTCCAGCGCTGTCCTCCCCCTCAAGAACCACCACAGCGCAGCTCGGCACACATCTTCGGGCCGTGAAGTTCCGAGTGGTCGAAATTGTTCCGCATGGAGTCGAAATAGTTCGTATAGGTGTTTCGTACGAGTGACAAAAGCATCCAGCGCGTCGTCGCCAGCCGCAACCACCGCGTCGTGGAGGCTTCGGACCGTCTTCTCCGGAGAATGGGGTTGGAATCCACGCCACGCAGGGTTCTGGGTAACGGGCGTGGCTTTGTGGGAGAGGTCGGAAGTTGAGTGGATGGAATTAGAGTAGGTGGACGAAGGGCTCTCGCCGTTATTGCTCGTGATGAGACGTAATTCATCGGGCGATGCAGGGCGCAATTTGGCTAGCTCGGTATCAAAGTCGGGCAAATCGGCGTTGGTAGGTATAGGCGGCACAGGTGATATAGCTGTATAAGGAGGCGGGTTTGGCGGGACGTCTTGGGGAGGGGGCGGCAGGGGAGACCTCACAGGTGGGCTCGTCGCGGGCCCCGGCTGCATTGGCGAGGGCTTAAGAGGGGACCGAGTTGACTGGGTTCGCAACACCGCAGCGACCGACTCCTGCAGTGACGGTTGTGTTGACGATTCTCGGGCCGACATAGACCGCTCCGGAGGCGGCGTCGGCTCTAGCATTGTAGGAAGTTGTACCGGCTTGCGACGCGGCGGCGTTCCCCGAACGGGCTCGGGCGAAGAGCCCAAATCATCCCAGTCGTGATGAGAGTTGACGCTAGCAGACCGCATCGCCATCCCCTCGGCTTGACGCTGCTCTTGCTGGTGAATCTCGATAAATGATCGACGGTTATCATCCTTCCCACTGTCCAAGTCGAGGAAGCGAGATTGGGTAGAGTCGCCAGCAGGAAGCGCACGAGGCTTTGGAGGGTCGGGAGAAGAAACAGGGGCCGGGCCAGGCTCTTCCGTCTGGGAATCTCCGATCATAGAAAAGCCCGTCTGCGTCCTGCGGATCGGGCCTGGTATAAAACCATCTCCGTTCCTTTGTATTTCTTGAACTGCTCCCTTCTGCCTAGTAGACTGGCCGCTCGAGTTCGGGGGGCGGGCAGACGCCAAAGGTGCCGAGGGCGGAACGGACCTTGCCCTCTTCCTCCTACCGATTTCAGCCACTACCGTCTCACACTCGTCACCACCTTCGCCAATGACCTCGGGATAGCTGTTGGTGAAACGAACGATCAATCCCTTCTTCTTTCTCGGTCGTGGTGGGCTATGGGACCGTGCCCGTTGTGCGAGACTTTGCTGAGACCTGTTTTCGACATTGGGCGGCTGTTGAAAACGGCTGGCCTTAGAAGTATCCAGGGCGAGAGCCGGGGGACCTCGGGGGGAGATAGGTGGCGGAAGGGGGACGGGATGAGAAACGGTCAGTCTGTCCGAGATGCCGAGAAAGTCGGAGATTTCGTTTGCACTCTCTTCATTCGTCATTTTCCTATCCCTCGCAACGCTACTATTACCGAATAGCTTCCCCATTATACGGTCCCGCCGACGGGGGCCGTCGCCGTGGCCATCGTTCTCCATCATCGTCCGAGTCAAGCTTCAATGCGGTCGGGGTGCAACATAAGGGTGCTTCCGCTGCTTCGGTTTCCGGGACGGGTGCTGTTGCCGTCGTTTCTGCTGCTGGCTGTTGTGCGGTGTGAACGGGCGTCCGTCGGTCGAAAGATTGAAAGGACAATAGGTGGACGAGGCCGATGCGTTGGTTGGTTTGCGTTTTGGTTTTGTCGCGTGCTCATCAGATGCCGGGACGAGACGGGAGCTTGACCGAGCGACTGCTAGCATTCGTTAGAATCTGCTGCGGAAAGGGATGTACACGTGTGTATATGGTGTGTGACTGTGTGCGTAGGTATGCGTAGGTGTTATTTACTTGTATTTGCGTACGTACGTATAGGAGGGACGGGTCGATGTAGTTATGTGTGTGTGGGTGTGTGTATGCGTGAGTGTGTGTGTCTCTGTATGTGTGTGCGTATATATGTGCGTGCGTGGGACCGTCCAAGATAGCGAGATTGCTATGTTATTTGAGTTGGCTGGGATCGTCGTCCACCAGGGGGGTGAGGGTGATACGGGGTGATACAACACACAGACAGCCAGACAGCAGCATATATGCACAATACATAAGTATGTATGTCTGTCTGTCTGTGTGCCAGGGGGGTGTTTAGTTCGTTCTGCTACCCACTATAAAATCCCAAATCGGCGGCGGCGGGATGCGAACATAGCCGACGCTGTCTTCTACGCGCAGCTGGCTGGCTGATTCAGCGACGGACTGACGGACGGACGGACTGACTTCTGCCCCGAACGGTCTCTTGCCAGGTAGGTGATGCGGGTGGCAATGCCTTCGCAGGATAGGGGATGGGAGAGGGTGGGTGGACGGGGAGGGTCAGGATGGCACTCGATTTGAATGGACGAGAAGCGCCCAATTGTGTCCCCTTGTGCCTCGTGCCTGTGTCGAGTATGCGTACCTGTTCAACGATATGTGTGTATGTGTGTGTGCGTGTGTGTGGTGTGTGGCGCGCGTAACTGCGTGTGAACGCCAGGGGGGAGGGAGGGAGGGGTTCGCTGTCTTCCTTTGGAGTTGGTTGATTTCAGAATTGCACCGGTTGTCGGGTTGTATGCGGAATTGTCATCTAGCCAGGCCGCGATTTGAGCGATGGGCAGGAGAAGTTTAGTCATGGTACCTCTATAGTCCAGAGGAGGGAGTGCCCGGGTTCAACTCATGCCTCTCTGAGACATGTCTATGTATATGAATGAGGGTGGGGTGTACACACAAATGAATGGACGTTGCTCGATCGCCGAGTTTCAGGTACACATGCTAAGAACTGGAACCCAGGGGTACTCGCTATATGTACTTACGTTGTCAGGGTGCGTACGTACCTAGGTACTTTCCACATTGACGGATCCGTCCTCATACGGAGGCAGGTCGAGGCAGGCAGGATATACCTCCTACCAAACGGGCCCTCTGTTGGATGAAGAGACTGTACAAGGTGCCTACCTACCTGCGCTAAGGTGTGGAGACATAGAGGCTAGCTTCCGTAGCCTGCCTTAGGGATAGAAACGTACCTCGTACCTTGCCAATTAATTCCTCCACATTCGGACACTTCGAGGCTCGATACGGAGGTACATATATATAAGAGGCAAGTCCCGTCCTGTGTCTGGGCTAGGTGAGGTACGACGGGAACACGGGCTAAGCTACGTTAGGTGCCCAATGTACCCATATATATATATATAGGCGGGTATATAGGTGGGTATTTGTAGCACATGTCTAGGTACCTATGTACTGGCCTCCTGGGCAGGCAGGTAGGTCTGTTAGCATGCAACCCAATCGGAGTCTCCCTTCCAACGGAACTCCAGTACTTGTAATCTCAAACTACATCCTCCTCATAAGTGCCCGGGCACCTAAGGTCTGTATTCAGGATTCTACCAAAGGTAAAGGATGTACGTGCGGACGGGCTCTGCCGTGGACAGGTATAACCTACCCGATGTGTATACCCTCGCATCCCTTAAGGCAAGTTACCTACCCAAACCAGGCTAAAGTGGCCTACTGCCAATGTGTAGCCTCGTAGCGAGAGCTCTGTTCAACATAGCCATAGAGACAGATATCTTTGAGTTTGCGCATACGAAATTCCACGCCCTGGATTTAGGGTCCCACCCTCTCTGGCCCCCCCACCTCCATGACACGCGGCCTATTAAAGCGGCTGGCTCCAGGCACAAACCCTGCGCACGCTCTCTTCTTCCACACCACCTCCTATAATAGGTACCTACACGTCACCTACCCATGTATGGCTATACAGACACCACCCGACCTTGACGTGGGTATGAGTGTATGTGTGCGCCTACCTGCTCGTGTATATACACAGGCTGACGACTACGACAATGTATTCATCACCTCCCTTCTCCTTTCTTCTTCCCTCCGCCCTCCTTTTACGAATGGCCTAATCAGATTCGGGATCGGCCGAGTAGAGGCGTATAGGGCTTATCAAGAAGCATTCCGAACGCGTGATGACAATGGTGGTAATAACTCGTGCTAAAAATGGGACGGGTCGAGGAGGCATCGTCTCGGACCTCCCTCCAGCTCGACTCGTTATCATGTCGGTACTACTAGGTACTACCGTTCACTACTCAAGTGCGTCGTCCCGGTAGCAGCCGTGGTGATGGCGACGACAGTATAGCTAAATTTATCGCCAAATCATCTCGAACGGCGACGAGTATCTTACACAAGCCTCGTCTCGGCTCCAGGTTGGTCGCACAAGACCTGGGCGAGAGCGCTCTCGGCCCTGCATACGTACGAGTACACACGCATAGTTGTCGGTCTGGCTTAACCCATCTCTGTCTCTCTCCCTTCCTCTGTTTTTTTTTTTTCAAGCCCTTACATATGAGTAGGCAGGTAGCACTTCGGTTACCAACGATCCAAGATGACGGCTCCTCAAACGGGTAGAGGTAGGGAGGCAGGCTGCACATGCCCACCGGTCCCTCCACCAACCCCGGCAAGTAAGCCGGGTCCGTATGCACATACCTACATATTTCGCAATAGCCTACTACGCACGTCTGTTACCACCCTTCATCTCACCCAACGATCCCCTATCTTGCGGGTAATATACATCTGCCCAAAACCCTGTCCGCACGCTGTTAGTCTGCTCGTAATTCGCCCACATTACCGACTAACAATCATACATACATTCATATATACCCATACCACGCCTCCCCACCAATTAGTCGCTCGTATGCACACACGCCACACATCCGTCCGTCTGGCTCCATGTCTCGTCAAAAACCCGAGGGCCACTGCCGTGGAATGGCGGTCTCACAGCCGAGGCGGCCGGCAGGTAGCGGACCTTTCTCTCTGTATGTGTGCGTGTGTGCCAACAGGAAGGGCGCAGAGAAATTCGGAGATGTATTTATATACCTACCTAGCTACCCCTGTCTTACGGCAGCGACAACAGCTAGTTCTCAGGCCGATGTCACCACGACCCGAGGCTACTCGATCACCCCAAAGGCTGCAGGGCGATACTACACGGGGTAACAACATCCTGAGTTGGGAGCTCTTGTCCCGGCGGCGCCAGGCTGTGCCATTTAAGATGCGAGGGGGAAATATACCCAGCCTCGCAAGTCGGACGACCTATCCAGGCAGCTCATCGCCAAAGCCTACATCTTATTGCAGCGTCCCGTCACCCCATGTATTACCACACTCAAGACAGCGCCGCTTGGGGTCGTCGGTCCCTATCCCCACTTACCGAGGACGATTCCTGGTGGGGCTTAAGACACATTACACCAAGCAGTCGTCATCTCTGTGTACTACTCATCTAGCCAAAAAGGGGCGGCTTCATTCTATTACGGCTCGTCTCGCTTCGCCGTCGCGTATTTTGCGTAGGATATGTATCTTTGGCTCCATCTTCGGGCCAAGCCACCACCCGCCCGTTAGTGACCTCGTGTACTCTCTGGCGTCCCTCACAACAGACCCTCTACCGAAAGTTTCGCCGAGGCCACTTTCAACGTCACTTCTCAACGGAGTACCTGGTTTTGCTACGTCAACGCCGGAAAAGCCTTCCACCACCCCTACCGTCTCCCAAGATCCGATCACCTTGGCAGAGTCTTCAGCAAGCACGTAGTCGAATTTCTCCCAGAATTCTGGGCTGCGCAACGCGTTCTCATCTTCAGTCTTGTCAAAATGGAACGTTATGTCGTTCGTAGGTCGCGGGTCGTTAGGGGGCCGGGGGTGCTGTCCGAAGAGGGTTACTCCCGTCATGCAAGACAATACGTCTGTATGTACCATGACGATCTGCAGGTCGGGGGACGAAGAAGAGGTGACCAGATTGCGCAGCTCCCAAAGCGCTTCACCCCCGGGATAGTTGAGAGATGATATGATGAGCATGCCGGTGCTCAGGGCGAACGAAATCAGTACCGAGCCGACGATCACCGCGGAGGCGAGCGCCCAAATTAAGGATTTCGCGCGGCGTGCGACTACGTAGTTTGCCGCAAGCGCTGCCGTGGCTGTCAACGGCGGCGCCACGTAGAAGATGAACCGCGCCTCTTTATGCGGCTGCAGGGAGTATATCGCCACGAAAAGCAAGCTGGGTACCACCAGCGGGCGTACCTGGCTCCTTGTTCCAGCGTTCCAAAGGGCATAAGGGATGAGAGCTGCCGTGCTCAAGGGGTTCGTAAGGATCTTGGGTATGGCGGACGTGAAGTAGTAATGCCAGGGCGAAACCCCCCATTCGGAGGAAGAGCCGAGGATGGCATTGTAGTAGAAGCCCCAAAGTTCCGGCCACAACGGCTTTTGCCAGAAATAGGAGTCAATCGGTAGTGACAACACCAGAGACATGATAAAGAAGACGAGGAAAGTAGGGATAACCCGGCCGAGGGAGATCCTAGAAGTAGCCAGACCATACAGGGTCGTCGTCGCCAGGAGAATGGCCAGTTCTGACCTAAACACGGCGGCGGCAATGGTTAGATTTGCAATGGCTACCCTGTAGCGTGTCACCTGCGATTTCGTCTCGGGTCGGTCTATCAATTGCGAGAACGCCAACGTCGCTATTTGCGTATTAGCCCAGTCCAGCTTCCTATCGAAATACGGTAGGGGAAGGTAAACCTACTCAAGCCAAAAGCAAACATGTTTGGTAGCGTTCTAGAGGCGTAGAACATGATGTGGAACTGGCTGAGCTGCAGTAAGGCATACCACCTCGCGGCCGACCTTCCAAACGCCCTCTCCACGTTAGACTTAAAAATCAACAAGGCGGCAGCGTTGAGGAGCCCTAAGACGCCTCTGACGACGAGCTGGGCGTGCTGGAAGCCCACCACGGCGATGACCGGCTGGCTGATCCCGGCCAGCAGGACGGGACCGACGAAGGTCCGGGGGACGGCGCCGGGAAAGTCGAAATGGTCGTACTGGGACGAGAGCCGACGATACACGTCGCTGGTGGGCGTCCCATATACGAGGATATCGTGGGCAGCCTGGATGTTGAAAGATTCCTCGACCTTGGTATAGGGGGCCACCAGCAGATGCACCACGATCAGTGCGGGTATTGCTAAGGATAGCAGGAGGTCTTAGGGAGGAGGGAGGTAACAGGAACGACGGTTAGCCACTAGCTGGGAGTTAAAGTAAGAGGTAGCTTGATATCATACCAAAGGCCGCCATTCTTTGCGTTCCTAAGATGGGAGTTGCGATGTGATGAGGTGGGATATAGGACGATTCCTAGAAGATAGGTCCCCTCCAGTGGCGAACGACCCGAGCCGAATGAATGCGCGCTGAATTTACAGGAACGCGGCCGTATTCGGTTTCGGTCCGGTAGGAGTGCAGTCCCAACAGCCCTGCTATTCCATAGGTAGCTGCTATTACCTCATATTGGGCTTGAATCAATGTGCCAGAAGGGGTTGAGAGGTGAGCGCGTAAGACACCTACCTACAGATCGATGCGATGCTTGAACAGTTTACTACAGCCTTCAATATCAGACCCAAGACGTGCCGGGGTACAAGACACATATGTGTGTGCTTGGTTACCCCCAAGGTACCTCCCAAAATCTGGGGTTGCGAATCGTACCTCGCAAGGCTGGCTGCCGGTCCGTTTCTGCAGGTCCGGGCGCCACGCTCGCCATTGACACCTGTCCTACTTGAGCCACGCTTGCCTAGGTACGTAGGTGGGTACCTAGTACCTGACCGTAGCACCACAAATACATCTGCACACCTACACTAATGATGCACATTCCACCTGGGCAGTCAGTCAAGCCTATAATACACACACACTCACCCACCATCCACCACCCTCACTGTCGACAACTTAGAAGACAACCCAGCGCTACACCTCCTCCCCCTTTCCAACGGGACTCAAAGCAGCACTCACCCCTTTCCACACATGTTGTCGCCCGCCTCCAGCTTGCCACGATGCTTCTCCTCGGGAACCTCCTCTACGGTACCCCCCTCCTCTCCCTCCTTTCCCTCTCTCTCCCTCTCTCGCTCCCGCGCCGCCCACCACCGAGACAGGAGCGCAGCAGCTAACCGGGAACTCTCGCTCCCGCGCGACAAAAAAAAAAACAGTCTCCGTCCTCCTCGTGAACGCGATCGCGATCCTATCTGAAGACCGCTTCCTCGCCCGCAGTATGCGCGCCGCCCCTCTCTCCCCTAGTACGCTAATCCCCCTCGGTAGTCAACCTCTCCTCCGCCTCCTACGACCCGGCTTTCGGCGCCGGCCCCGACTCCCAGAGCATCAAGGCCAAGGTAGTCAACCTGATCGCCAGCGTGCGCACCCTGATGCGAAGTACGTGTCCGCCCCGCCCCGTCTCCCCGGTTCGGTTCGCTGACGCGCCGGGTTCCGCGCAGTCCCCCTCATAGCCATCAACACCTTGATAATACTCTACGAGCTAGTCCTGGGCTAGGATGGCAGCAGCGCCGGCAGCACCAGGAGGAGGAGGAGGAGGAAGAGGAGGAAGGAAGAGGAAGGGAGGGGCCTAGAAGAAGAGCACGCAGGTTGGCATCGCGAAACGCCATGGGGCTCAGGGGAACATATATGTTTAAAAAAAGTTCAGGCGGGCGTTCAGGTTTTATACACCACTTAGGTTTGACAAGTCGCGATCGGTGGATCAAAGAACACGCGCGTTCCCGCGCTCCCTCCGTCTGAGAGCGCGAGGGAGAGAATCTGTGTGACGTAGAAAGAGTGCATGCGAGAGAAGGCTGCTAGTACCTGAAATACGCAGTGATGCGTACTCGAATAATAGTGTATTATTATGCCAACGAAGCTACGTCAAAAATCGGGTTAGCTCGATCGATGGCAACCGAGATGATCTAATCAAGATGATCTATCTTCTCTCGTACCCCCCCGACCTTTCCTCGGCGGATATATCCTGCTCTCTCTCTCCTCCACCTCCCTCCCCCCCAAGCTGCTGACCTTATCATACACCATGTACCCATGGCAACATGCGAGCGGCATCGATGTCAAGCGCCGCCAGTGCCAAGGCAGCCTCCCCTCTCAACAGTATCCGTAGCGAGCCTCAGCCGCGGTGTATTCTCCGCCAATGCTTACGAACCCTCGCACTTCATTTTAATACCCCCCGAACTCCATCTATGCCGTATCCGTTGTGGTAGGGCCGGATTGGGGTATGCGCAGAACTAACCCCCCGAAACGGGTCCTGTAAAAACAAACACCACCGGATAAATCACCTCACAACAGGTTGTGATGGCTCTTTTTTCGTCCGAGGTTGAAACTAAAGCTCTTCTTCGGCTTGGGCTGCTCCGGCTTGTTGTGATTATGTGCCGAGCTCTCGTCGCTTTGTCCGTTTGCCGGCGCCTCTAAGCTATCGCGTTTCGTCTTGTCCTTACCCAAGAATCCAAAGCTCTTTCTAGACATAGATTTACTCTCCTTGATCGGCTTCGCTAGCGGCGGTACGTTATTTTCTTCCTCGTTTTCCCTCTTGCCCTCTTCTTCGTTTATTTTTTTGCTCGCCTCGAGAGCTTTCTTCAACTCATCATGCTTGGTCTTGTGGGCGTCACGGAGCCGCGTTTTAGCCTCTTTGCGTTGCTTCTCCTTGGCCTTGTGTTCCTCTTTTTCTGCTACTCTGCGTGCTTTTTCTTGAGCTTTTGCTTCTTTCTTCTCTCGGTTCTTGTCCTCCTTCGATTTGGCGTCCTCCTTAGCCGCGGTTACCCCAGCCGGGGTTGCGGGGATCGGCGGCGCTGCATGATCCGAGGTCTGCGGCGCTGCTGGTAAAGGATTCGTTAGGTCAAAGATCATGTCAGGTGCTGTGGCAGCGTGGTCCAGTGTAGTCAATCCCTCGGGCTCTTCAGCCGGTCGGATCGGTTGCGTCACCTGTCTTGTCAGCCCAGGGATCTGACCGTTCGGCTGGCCGTCTTCTTGAGCAATGCCAGCCGTCTCGCTGGCTATCCTAACCTCCTCAAGCCCCTCTGCCTCCTGCTCGGCCCGCACCTTTTCAAATGTTGTCTCCTGGTAAAATAGAACATACGCACAAGCCATTCCCGGCTTGTCTCCAAAGAAATTTCGGACATAATGCTTATCGACTGGTTCCACCATCTCGTCGTCGAATAAGAGCCAGCCTCGGTCCTCTGTCTTGATTACCGCGACGTAGTGTCCATGGTATGCATTGCCGCCAATGTGAACGACGACCGCATAGAGCTCGTAGAGACGGTCTGGATCCTCGGCATCTTCTGTTGTATTAAACATCCTCATCTGATACGGGTACACCACACGATGGAAAAGCTTCTGTAACCGACTGTAGTCCTCTGTATATTTGAACCGCTTCAGATGCAACGCGAGAACCTTGGGTAATCGCTTGATCTTCATCCGCTTCTCGGCTTCTTGCAAGCCTCCGCAATGGTCGCAATGGAACTTATTCCTTTCGCACAACATCTCCTCGGCTGAAAACTTTTGCAAGCAGGCGGTTACCGAAGTGTGCTCTTCTAGGTCGATCGATAGATCCAGGAAGGTCTCGTCGCGCCGTGAAGTAGTCTCGCAGGTTAGGCACTTGGTTTCCGACGTCAACACACCTTCGAAGATATTATGTACCCAGCCCGTCCCTGGGGAGTTCGTGCCGTTCGAAGTGGTCTTGGCGACTGCGCCTAGAGCAGTTTTGAGGGATTCCTCGAGACCCTCATGACGAAGGGACGCCTCTTCGCTTAACAACCGATTAGCAGTGCTCTCAACATTGGAGATGATGTCATTGAGCACGAGCCCATAAAACTCGTGAGCATCTTGGTGCATCGAATTCCGAAACATTTCGTTGTCGCGCTTGAATATCTCGAGGAAGCGCTGCGGGCTGAGGACTCCTGTACGGACAGTGCTGTCGACGAGAGCCATAAATATATCTCGCAGGCCCGTGAAGGTACACTCGTCCATGCCGTAGGTGCTAGTACTTTCCTGCGCCAGCTCTAATATGGGGCCTTTCAGCATGGCCTGCTTCTTCTTGTATTCCGGGGTGTCGGGCTTGTCTTCTGGTCGGACTGGCTGTGGTTGTTGTCCTGCGTTGATCTGTTTCCGCTTCTCTATAGCTTCTGCGGCGAGGCTCTTCTTGTTCCCATTCGCGCCCCCGTGCGCGCTTCCATTCGCCACCGGGGCTCTGATCTGCACGTTGACCCTGGGTCGGTTGCCGTTGGGCGTGTCTGAAGGGGACAGCGGTGGAAATTTGAGGACTTGTTCTCGAAAAGGCGCGGTATAGTAGAGGGCTTGGACGATAGAATTGCAATAGCTAGTCGCCGTCAGCTCTATTTTCTTCCAGCGCGTAGGATACGGAAGCCTTACCAGGTATTACCAAACTACGCCACCCAGGTTAGTATTTCTTATAAAGCAAACGAAGCATAGACGCTGGGCGGAGAGGCTCGGGGAGGCTCACATTTTCCATGCCGAAGAACTTGTCACTCCCGTCTTGTCGGAGTGCGCCGGCATTCTGGAGCATCTTCTCTAACGGCGTAACCTCCGGCGCGGCTTCGTCCTTCTTCTTCTGTGCATCTTTGCCTGCTGGGGATGTGGCAGACTAGTGAATCATCAGCTTTCTTGGCCAATTGCTACGCACGCAGCTCAACTTCTGCGAGACGTTGCACCCTATGTAGGCACGTCCACCGCAGCTTTAAACTAGGGTCTAATTACTCACGGCAGCGCCGGCTTTCCACTTGTTCAAAAAACTCGCCATAACGGAGGCGTAAGCAAGCGAATGGCCGGTGCAGCGGGGGGTTGGTCGTGACAAGCCAGCGTCGGAGCGCGGCAGTCAGTCAGCGAGGGAAGAGGCAGGCGATGGCCACAGTCATGCGATGAGGTTATATAGAAAGCAGCGACACAGGGTTATGGTGAGAGATAAATTCACTAGACAGCACAGATTCGCGTTGAGTAAGCTGTCTAGGCTACGCCGCCAATGTGTCGGGCGTATCCGTTGTTGGGATGTCCGAGTCGCCCAGATTCCAATAGCTTCGGCGGGTTAGCCGATATTCGTCCTAGACACGCGCGCGACCTGCACGGCAAGTCGATCTCGACGGCGGGACCTAGGAGGAGACGGCAATGGATTATCGGCTGCGAGGTGATCGAGGTTGAGATGCGCAAGGCTGTATAATATCTATCGCGTGAGAGGATCCGGAGACGATCGAGAGGTCAGTATGTCTATAGACGAGGTGGGTAGGTCGGGTAGGCAGGTAAGGTCGGCGGACGACGACGTGGACAAGGTAAAGGTGAGTAGGCGGTAGGTAAGAGGTAGGTTGAGTTGCCGGAGGAGGGTTCGGTCGGAATGGGTTTGGAGGTACTAAAGTATGGCCGGGATCGATGGGCGGGTGGGTGTCGCTAAAGGAGCCCACTGAGAGCCACATTTAACTCAGCACTACAGGAGGCGTTAAAAGATGGGGTAATTGGAATTCCGGCTCCTTCGCCCTCGCGTACAGGTACCTAAGATACCTAGCGACGGGTCCCCCTGACGGGTACCATACCAGTTCTCTCAGGTACCTTTGAGAGAGGTGCAGGTAGGGTCCATAGGTGTATCTGCCGTCTCCTTACATTACCTTAGGTAGGTACCTAGGTACCTATAGGTTGAAGGTACCTAATCTAGTGCATGTAGGGGCCTCGGTCGATGGACCAGCTCCACCTAAGGTGCCTACACCTTTCGTAGGAGATACCTCCCCATTGTTGGCAGTTCTCCGGACATCCATTTTATATAGGTGCCTATGTACGTATTGTATTCACGCATACGTACATATAAGGCGATTCTCCACTCATGCTGTCGATCCGCTGATTCCTTTGAAGCCACCCACGTACTCGTAATGGGTATACGCGGAGCGTAGCGTTAGGTAATATCCAGCATTGGTTCGACGGCAGGCTTATAGGTGCCCATCTAAGGTAATTGTAATTAAGCGTGTCGGGGTTTATGTAATGTAAAACATGTGCCCACCCACCTACGATATTATGTAGTGTCTACGTCTACGATGCCTGCACGACCAGGAACACCCATGGGGATGGGGATCATCAGATTAACGGAACCCCATCCTTACTACGTTATTATGTAGCATACATCCAATACGAGGGCCGAGTTGCAGCGAGTTGTAGGTGCATACTATAGGTATGTAGGCACCTTGCACACTTCCAGATGCATTAGGTTCTTCTCTAGTTTGCTTCCCATGCCACCCAAGATACCACGCGATACTGGGTAATCAGATGAATAGGAGTGGCCTAGATGCCAAACCCGCCCACTGCAGGGGGAACACGCCGGGCTAAGGGTTATGAGCAAGGCACCAGATCAGCCCTAGAAACGACAACCGCCTCAGCACAGAGTCGGATCTAGTCTATAAAGAAGGCGTGGAGAGCGGTGTTAGACGGAGTAGGAGGCAAGCTGTTATTAACAAGTCGCACGGGGTGCGAGGAACATTATAAAAGGTATTAGTAAAGGTTCCGAGGTTTGCCCGCCAGGCACCGGGCCCGAATGCCCAGATAACTTCGGTGCGTGGCCGTCGACTCCCTCCTCTCCTACCCCGCCGTCTCTCGATCCCGCACTCGACCTTGACACACACAACTCGACGTCCGGGCTGGCGTTGCTCTGGCCTACTGATTTAAAGACTAACTCGTTCTCACGGCTGCTCGGTCCCGTTCCAACTCGGAAACGTAGGCAACTCGCTAGGTACGCTTCTAGCTTTGCCGGGCGTGGCCCACCACTCAGTACACAGATACCTACGTCGTAGGGACCCCGACGCAGAGTGTTGAATCTGATCCCCAGCTCGGCTGCCATTGGCAAGTCGGCGGGATTGACTTAGGTGGGGGGGAACCGGGGCCTCACCATGGTCTTTTCCATCGGTGTCTCACTAGCTCCACATGCCATGCTCCCAAAGTAGGCCAAGAGCAGGCATCGCCTGTGGTTCGACCATCCCACGAGTTCTAGGCCCGAAGGAGCAGGTGATCACCACGGTGCTGCTAGGACTGCTGGTCCCAATGCTGCGGGCAGGCATGGCCCACCGTCCATCGCCCGCATCGATCACTGATCAGTGACGACGAGATCGAGGCAACCGGCGCCACGCCGAGTTTCGAGACGGACGGTATCACCGCGCTGTGGCAGCCAAGTCTCCCGTCCCATATCCCGTAGGGCTGTCGTGGTCGCCACGGCCGTGGTCTGCGACACGGGAAAGGCGCGCCTCGTCGCACATCATCGTTGTCGTTCTCCTCGAAAAGACGGCGATTCCGCACCTCCTCTCTTCCTTGCTCACCAAACACCAACTACGTCGATTACTTTTACGATACTAACTCAAGCACCTACATACCCAGAATCTGGTTATCGAGTGGCATGGGGTGCTAGCGGCCAACAACGGGGGGGAATCTACCTGACAAGGGCGGGGGGACGCAGTACTACGCACGCAGGCGACAACGCCCTTAGATGATGCGCCTGTTGGCGGGACCAACAAATATTGTTTTTCCTTAGTCCTGCAGGTGGCCCCGAACGGTAGCCAACCCCAGCTCGCCGACCACACGGTGGACTCGGCCGAATTTCTCCTCTTGATCCCAGGGCCATTGGTGTCCCAAGAGGGTTAAATGTGAGCGGTCACGATATCGTGCGTTTCCCTCCACGCTCAGCCCGACACTTCTGGTCACCCGCCGTAGCTACGCTCGAAGTGGAAAGAATCTGCTCCAAGGACGGACAAGCCCTCAGCCCAGGCGCCATTGCCGGGAGGACCTGAAGGCCACCTCTTGCTTCCACACCTCGAGCGTCCGTGGCGGCCGCTTTCTTTTCTTGACGCTGCTTGGCTCTGCTGTGCTACCCATTATTCGCTGATCTGCACATAGTCAGAACCGAGAAAGCGCCGCCCTGCATTCTGCCTCAGCCAACGAGCGGCTGTTCTACGCACGAGATGCGGTAGTCGGGTGGTGGGTGCATCTCGTGGAAAACGCGCAATGACGGAATCCGGAGGTGTGGTGTGGCCAGCCCGCCCTATGGCCGTCAGTTGAAAATCCATGTGGCAGGCCTGTAGGCCCCTGATGCTTGTGATGGTCTTGTTGTGAGGCGTCGCCTTCTAGAAGGCGGCGGGTGATACATCGAAGGCCGCACGTAGCACATATCACCATTCGCACTGGCTGACTTACACGCCTACACGCCTACCAGCATACACACGCACACGCACGTACAGACCTACCTCGTAGCTCTCACACCACACATACATACATGCACTCCCACCGGATGTAGAATCCCGCTGAGCGCACAGGCAACCCAAGCCGACTCGGGTGAGCACGAAGCCGCTTTACAGCCTGCAGGGCAATAAACGACGCAACCTAGCCCGCTTCGACTAGCCACCTACATGATCCCCGCCGCTCTCCAATAGCCGTGGGTTGTATGCTCTCGTTACTAATGATCGTGAAAGGGCATAGCACGATTTTCCTGAGGTGTGACACCCTTGGCGCCCTCAGTGTGCACACATCCTTCGCACATTTCTATTACTCGCTGCTGCTACGTAGTAGGAGGCGAACGGCTACTCGAACGAACTAGGACCTTTTATACGGAGGAGCCCCTGCTCTGCTGCCCCCCCAAAACCGGAATTGGGTTTCCGTTTACGTCCGAACTTACGGGACGCATTAGCAGTAATCCGATGGACGTCTCCATCCTCACCAGGCGAGAACTGACGGACCCGACCCTACCAAGGACTTCCGAGTCCACCAATAGGGTCCGGGCGATCGCTTGTTGGATCGTATGTGCAGCTATTCTATACGCAGATGACTGAAATGCGCCCCCAGCTAGTAGACCGGTGAAGGGTTTCGATATGGGGGCGGTTATTCTCGCGCCACGGGCGGGCTCGAGGGCCTACTACCATCGGGAACTTACTAAGATGAAAAATAGGGGAGTGGATTCTATGGTTACTACTGCAGCCCCCAGTGTCCAGCGCCCAGGACCTGATACCCGATCTTAGCTTGAATCCATTTAACTACCTACATATAATGGATCCGTACTCGAACAGCCAAAATCCATTCGGAAAGCACCCCGCTAGATGAATCATTTCCCCCGGTCCACATCTTACACATACCGAACTTTCATATTCTCGAGCACGACCTGTTCATATTACTTCTTCTCAGGCGGTGCGGCCCCTCCGGTCGTCGGGAAGCCCATGAACATCTTGAAATAGTCCTGGCATACCGTTAGCGTCGAGCCCTGGGCTACTTATTAGCACGAACCTCGGGAGGAAGCACTCACGTAAATCATCCACTGGAGGCCGGTAAGAGTACCGATCATGACGATTCTGACGGGGAGGCCGTTCCACAACCCCACGAACCCTATATCCCGATAGTTCCGGGCTACGGCGGCTCCGAAGCCCTCGCCGACCTGCCGGTTGGCATTCAGCTTGCTGACGAGGACGTCGGCCGGATGCGACACGATCGCGCAGAGAATGCCGGCCAGGTAACCACCGGTGAAGGAGACGGCTGTCTGGGCAGCCTTGCCATAATCATCCTTCTTTCCGGGTAGACGACCGTAGATCTTCTCCACGATGGTCTCGAAAGAGGCAAACTTCATCATGGTGTAAGGGATTTGGCGGCCCCAGAGGGGATAGAGACCCTTGTATAACCCGCCGACGCCTTCGGACGCCGTGATCTTCCTTATGCCGTCGAAGGTACCCTTATATGGGGGTGGGATTGTCGTCTGCATACGGACCTTGACGGCCTCGAACGGACAGAGGGCAAGGTCGGCGAGGACCTCGGCCGAGGCAGAGGCTGCCAGGTACAGCACCGTCTTGTACCGGTACGCGTTTTCGGGGCCCACGACGTCAGAATACTTCTTCTTAAAGTATTCGTACCAGCCGTACTTGAAGGCCCCCTGAGCCGAGTAGCCAAACAACGTGGGGCCCCATCCTGTGAATATACCCGACAAGCCCTCTTGCCGCAGAATTATCCCCCAGCCCTGGAAGTTCCCCTTGTATAGCTTCGCGTCGACTTGGCGACGGCATTTTACGAGATCGAGAGGCGTCACAGCAGTGTGGGTCAACCCCTGAGATTCACACATGTGAGAGGGGGTTCCGACCGTCAGAGGTGCCGCTCTGTTCACTTACACAGGCGAGAAGGCCACCAAAGGTGGCGGCCGCATAGAATGTAGGGGTGTACAGCTCCAACGTGCCCGAGGAGGCCTGCGTTGCCTCGCTGACTTTATCAAATCCCTGCCGAGCTCCGGTACCGAGTTTCTGCGCTTTGCCCTTGGCATCGTCAACGATGGAGTAGGCGCCGTAGAGTTCTGGGCGGGCCTGATACGGCGTGGCCCCGGTCGCGGGACTGGCCCGGGCCCGCGAGTTCAACGGCCGCGGATTCAACGGCGAGCTAAGGGAATGCTGGAGGACATGCTGGCTCGGGAATAGGTAGGCCATGGCGAGAGATTCCCGTCTACGTCTGCAAGTACCGGATTAGTGCGCTCTAGTTGCGGCCAACATGGATAAATGACGACGAGACTGGGGCACGAGGTACGTAATGCTTCCGTGATCCCCGATTGTCTACTATTCTAGCGGGGAGGGAACAGCGAAATCTATTGACGTGGAATGCGGAGCAGTATAAAGCATCGCGGTTCCGAGCTAAATAGGTAGGTATGATACTAACCTAGACACGCTATAGCTACTAGTATTCTGGCACTGTTGCTGTGGCCACGCGGAGAGACTCTAGGCGGATGAGGGTTCTCGAGGTGCAGAGGTGTGATGAGGGCGAGATGAGGGAGGAGAGAGGTCGGGATTGGAAGCTCCGGAGATAAGAAAGCCTTATTACCTGAGGTGCGGGCGGTAAGGCAGGGAACAGTTCATACGGAGCTTGACACAATGCTACGCAAAGTTGGACGACCCTCCTCACCCAGCCTGTCCCGGTTGCAGCTAGAAGGGAACCAGAGAGAGCGAGGACGAGACGTCTCGATTGGCAGGGCCATGACGTCGGCAGCCCAGCCGAGTACCTCTTACACCCAGGCAAGAAGTGCCGGGTACCAGAGGAGGTAGACCTAGAGGTAGGTACCTACCATATAGGGAGGGGGGGGTCTATGGACAGTATGTCAGCCATAGAGTCGGGGTACCGACACGGTAACAAAATCTAGTAAGGGTTACCTTAGCTGGTCATTCTTTCGGAGGGGCTAAAAGAATTACAGCAAGGGTCGCGGTACCGACCTTATTACCTTCCCTTCTTATAATTTCAGGATGGTTTTTATGACTACGTAGGAACTAATGTCCAGACGGATATAATAATGTCCAGACGGATATAATGTCTATATATTCCATAGGTACCTACCTACCTACCTAGACCACCTACCTACCTAGACCTGTTGTCTTCATCTTTTTTCTACAAATACCATGATCTACTACCTATCTACGAACCTATCTTCGAACCTATCTGCGAACCTATAGGAGCTAGTTCGCGCGTGGAATCTATCTATCTATCTTCGAACCTGTGGGAGCTAGTTTAGGCGTATGGAATCTATCTATCTTCGAACTTATGGAGCTAGTTCGCGTGCGTGGAATCTATCTACCTATCTTCGAACCTATCTTTGAATCTATGGGAGCTAGTTCGCGCGCGTAGAATCTATCTATCTTCGAACCTATCTTCGAACCTATGAAAGAGGTAGGTAGGTAGGTAGGTAGGAGGTTAAGAGGTAGGTAACAGACGTAAAAGATACAAAGATACAAAGGTACGTACTTAGTAACCTAGAGGTAACCGGGTAATCCTATAGAATGTACCTTTTTTTAAAATAAAGACATTATGTCCGGATGGTAACTATGTCGAGAAATGGTAATAATGTTAGCCTAGAGTTTAATTTACTCTTATTACGAGGTAGATACTATGTCTAGTCATAGAAAGGGTTGCTGACATAGTATCAATAAACCCCCCCCTCCCTGTATGGTACCTACCTGACCTGAAGTACCTGGACTGTCTTGGGAGCTGGGTAGGAGGTATCTGTCGGTGTCATTTAGATAGAATGCGCGACGTTAAATATAGGTACTTCTTCTTCTTCTTCCTGCCTGTACCTATACCACGACCGGGTCTGCGCCCGTTACCCACCCGCCCCCATACATACCTGCACCTGTGTCCTTCACTCACTGGTTCAAGAAGCGACACGCCGCTTACGACGATAGGGGTACCTATATATACCTACCTACCTCTAGGCTTACCTGTCTCACTAAGCCGTAAGAATTGCCAGTATCCTCTAAGGCTTAAAGGCCGTCCATATTGGCGCTGCTCAGTTCGTTAACTACATAATTCTTTGCATATACTACACTACGCAGTGTGAGGATAGGTAACCCTATCACGGTTACGGGCGACGTGCATAATTGCCTGGTACCTGAGGCAGGTAGCTACTCACTGCCCCACCTCACATGGGGCAGGAGGAGGTTCCGTCATCTTTTTGGCCCTCCCCCACCGCAAGCCCGGACCCAAGAACCCCCTACCCGTCCTGCCTGTCTTATCGCGGGCCGACGATAAACTCACCCAGCCTGTATTGGCCCAAATTCGTCAGAAGAGCTCTTTTGCCGCGCGCGAGACGACCGCCGAGATCCCATCCCATCCTCGCATCCGTGACAAACCGCAACGAATACCCCCACGGCCTCGCACTCGACCGAATTTTTCTTCTTCTTCGAAACGTCTTGCTGTCCCGAAAGAAGGAGGACACCGATCACGACACGCGGCCTGCTTCTCTTAGCCCAGCGCCCTTCCCTCGAATACCGCCCCCCGTAGAATATATCGTTCGTCGTCCGCCGACATGGCACAAGCGGTGAAGACGTCAGCCCCCGCCGGGCCCGCGGCCGAGTCGAGCGGGCCGTTCGTCTCGCAGTGGTCGTCGCGGTACCGCGGGGTACGTACGCAGGAGCTGGCGTCCTGCAGTTTTTTTCTTTTTTTCCCTTTGTTCCTCACCCTCCCTCCCCGCTCCCCCCTTTCCCTCCCCTTTTCTAGGCCACGACCGAACGGGACAAAGCGGGGCTGACGGGCGGGCAGGCGACGGTGCAGGACCTGGAGCCGCCGGCGGCGCTGACGCTGACGCCGACGGACGCGATCTCGGTGGCGCTGCAGTCGGCGTTCGAGCGGGACTACACGCACCTGGCGGTGGTGGACGGGGCGGACCGGTCGGCGCTGCTGGGGTACGTGGCGATCCCGGCGCTGCGGGCGGCGCTCGACGCCGGCGCCGTGCGGCCCGCCGACCCCGTCGCCCGCGCCATGGCCCGCTTCCAGCGCCGCGGCCGCCCCTACCGCGTCATCACCCCCGCCACCCCGCTCGAGGACCTCGAGGCCTTCTTCGACGGCCGCGACCCCGGCCGGGGCCCCCACGCCGAGCCCCGCGACTTCGCCATCGTCACCGACGACGACCGCCGCTTCGTCCTCGGCGTCGCCACCCGCGCCGACCTCGAGGAGTTCGTCAAGAGGCGTCCCGCCTGAGTTATACCCCCCCCCCTCCAACTCTCCCGGTGGGGTGCCGCGCGTGTGGCGGCAGGAGGAAGAGGAGCAGGAGGAGGAGGAACGGCGAGGAGGAGCCCACGGGGTGGGATAGTGAATGAGAAGGACGCGGCGCGGCGCAGGGGTGCGTGTGTGGGGTTCGCGTGGGATCGATGCCTGCACGACGACGCCGACGGCAGTAGACTGCTTAACATACTTCAGCTGGGGCGAATAGTGGTACGGCTTGGTCGCAGGCAGGCTAGGCGATCATGATTACCCGAGTTCGAGAACGAGGGGGAGGAGGGGCGGAAAGGGGTTGCAGCGCTACGGAGGCCTTGGTGACATTGAGACTTGAGACTGTATTACGCTGGGGCCACGGGGGTCTTCAGCCCCTGGGACCCCTCAGAATGGGGGCATTCAACACCTCGAGCTAGGGCCGGGCGGGAATCAGGGGGGGGGTGCAAGGTGAGGTCTCGTTCAACAGCATAATGGGCTCGAGCGAGAATACGGGTTCGAGTTGTATTAGGCAGATCGGCGTCGAATAGAACGCAATTTAAACATCCAGTTGTCGGGTGCTACGTGCCGCAGATCGACGCGGTCATCTCCCCTTTCAGCGTATTTCCACTCCGTCTCCTCTCGTACCCAGGGGACGGCGGGGGCCGGAACTGATCTCTTCCGCTTGGGGATAGGCCCCCGTCTCTCCCCGCCTCATCGTGAACCAACGTCACCGCAGCCTAACCATGTCCCCCCGCCTGTGTCCCCCCCCTGCTCCCTTCCCCTTCCCCCTTTCTCTTGCATCCCTTCTCCCCAGTCCGAATGGTCCCGCGCCCGGTCCTCCTCCTCCTCCTCCTCCTCGATTCCCTGAAACCGTCCGCAAAAAAAAAAGAACAGCAGCAACCGCCAACCGCAACCGCGGCCTCGCCTCGCCTCGCCTCGCATCCGGCCCTCTCTCTTACTTACTCGGGCGCCCAATCGTACACCATCTTGAAGCTGTAGAACTGGCCCTTCTTGGCGACGACGAGGTTGCGCACGTAGCGGCGCTCGCCGCCGACGTCCTGGAAGCCCCAGGCCTGGAGGGCGGTCCAGTCGGAGTCGAGGCTCTCGACGAAGCTGAGCACGAGGGTGGTGGCGGCGTCGGCGTCGCCGTCGGGGCCGTCGTCGGGCAGCCAGTCGCGCGCGACCGCGTCGTCCTCGACCCAGCCCCGGTCGCGGGCCTCGCCGGCGGCGAGCGCGCGCAGCTCCGCCAGGCTCAGGTGGCGGCTGCGGCCGCGCACGCGCCCGAACAGCCAGTCGGCGTGCTCGCGGAACCGGTTGTCGAGGCAGCGGTGCTCCGTCGTGCCCTTGAGCCCGGCCCCGCCCACCGCCTGCTCGATGTCGATGTGCGTCGCCACCTCGTCCTCCGCCGCCGCCGGCTCCGTCTCCACCGCCGCCCGGGGCGCCCCCTGGTACTGCTTCACGTGCAGCGTCACCGACGCCGCCCCGATGGCCTTGCGCACGAGCCAGCTGACGCCCTGCAGCGTGAGCGCCGGGTCGACGCTGTCCGAGAGGGCTTTGTTCTGCGCGCGCGGGGGAGGGGAAGGACGCGGGGATCTGGTTAGTCGGGGTTGTCCTGTTGGGTTAGGGGGTGGTAGTGGTGGCGGCGATACCTGCTGTTATCAAGAGAGGCGGTCGGGATTGGGGATTTGGGAGGTGACGGGTGTCGGGGGGACGGGGGGTTGTCTTGGGCGAGGCTAGTCTGGTCGGGCGGCGTCAACTTACCAGAACCCACTTGCCGTTCAGATCCCGAACTGTCTTAGATGCCGGGGCCGCCATGACGTTTTTTGGTGTTTCGATTCGGTGGGGGGCGGAGACGAATGACTCGTGGCGGGCGGAAGTATGACGAGCTCCGGGTTGGATGGATGCGTCTATGCGACGAGCTGCCCCTCTAGGATTCGAGATGACCAGAGCTGTACCTAGCCTAGTTAGCTCCGTCGACGGCTCGGTCGGGTGACATCGAGGCCGGAGAGAGAATACCTAGGCAAGATGGCGATGGACTTGTTTTCAATTGAACGTCAGAAGGAGGGGGGGGAGGGGGTTGTCGATCCTCGTACGTATGCTAAAGCACAGAGGCCACTGGACCTGGGCGACGACAACGAGATCTTCAAATAGGGACGAGGCGGGGATGAAGAAAAGCACGAGAGCTAGGAAGCGTGGGAGCGAGTGGAAGAGATGAGGAGGGGAGACTACGAGACAGATCTTATCGAAATTCGAGAGGGAGACACAGAATAGGCGCGAGCATGTGAGAATTGGCGACGGCTGTGGGAACGGGCTCGCTTCGCAGCCGACAACTCTTCATTTGGGCAGTCCATCGACGATCAGATGCCTCCATCGCGAATCGCAGCTTGGGGGCGTCCCGAGGCATGACGCGCCTAGATGGTAATAATAGTATGTAGGTAGGTTAGGTACCTACCTGTTGGGTGGTGTCTGTAGGGAGCGGGTCGCTGTCACAAGGTACCTAGGCTGGTAGGAGTGTAGCGGAGGTTAGGAGGTAGGTAGGCAGTATATGCTGGGCAGCATACACGTGTATGTACATCCCCGGATTCGCGGAGATGGGGAATGGACAGCCCCCTGGCGGGCGCATCCAGGGGCACCAGGTAATACGTGGTCTATACCTTAGGTAGTACCTGGAGGTACTTGGATGTAAAACCCCGTTCCCTTCGCGGCTGATCTCTCCTTTTGCCCTTTGCCTAGGTGGTAGGTAGGTAGGTACATACCTAGGTACCTACCTCCTCGAGCTTAGGCACCCAAGGTACCTAAGGTAGGCTACCGTACACGCCTAGACAGGTACCTACCTACATAGGTATACCGCCGAGACCATCCCCCCGCCCGTAACAAGTGAGGTGGGGGTGGTGGGGGACGGCTTCCTAATCGGGCGCGCCCAGGCACGCGAAGCCGACCGGTCGAGAGGTCAGGTGGCCGGCCTGTAACGAACCTGTTAGGAAACACGGCAAGGTAGCAGGTAACTCACCACCTAGCTCTGCTGGTAGGGGGAAAGGGTGCGAAATCGCACCATGTTACCGTGCGTTGCTATTTAAAGCGTGCTGCGTTATCGACTGGCAACACCTAGCCTATCAGGCGCCGCGCGGGGACAATTCCGCCGGGTTCACCACTCTGGATTTCCAACTCACGCCTTGCCTTAGGTCCTAACTTACCTACCCTGACCTCGCCTACATCGTAACGCTTACTTGCGAGGTAGGCAAGGGAGATATCCCTCCCCCGTAGGCATTCATTCTACCGTGTCCAGCTCGGCACCAGCGTGTGCACATAGGTAATAGGTAGCATATAGTAGGCGGGTGCAAGCATGCGGGGGGCGCTAGCCCCCAAAGCAGCCGCCATGGCGACGGGACGGCCATGGGTCAAGGGTGGAGGCGGGCAGCGAAACGTCGCGACGAGGGCGGGTTGGCCTTGTCGCGATCGACGGCGCGGCCGACTACTGTCCGAGGTTGGCGGGCGGAGGAGGGGAACAGAAACCTCTAGTATCCAGGCGGACTGCTGCCGCTCCGACGGCCATCACGCATCCCGACAGCTAAGGGGTGAGGGAAGGAAGGGGACGGGTGTGCAGACGACGGGCGCTCGGGTCGGCCAGCTCTGGAGCGGCGCTGTGTTGCTGTATCGAACACGTCTCTCGTCCCGAACGTATTTGCGACCCAGCAGGATGTGGGCGCACACAGTAGGTATGCGATCACCTAGATCATGGACTAGGTTACCTCCCGGCTAGTAGGCGCGCACCGTATAAGCCTATGCCTCATCGGACGATACGGCGCCAGGTAGATACCTAGGTAGCCTAGGGCGTCACATAGCCGTCTACTCAGAGGTAGGTATCATCAGGGTTACATTACAGGTAGGAGGAGGTAGGTAGGCATTTCAACCGCAGTCACCGGTACAAGAAGCTCCCCTAGAGCACTTTGCCGTTCGGTAGGTACCTATCTAAAGTACATACATCGGCCTCCGCAACAACTATCACATCGCGTGCTCGTTACGTGCTCATGTATCGTTACCAGGTATTGTTCCATATGTGCCCGGCGAGGTAGTCCCATACCCAAGGCTCACATTCTGGTCACGAGTCGGATCAATCTTTGCCTGACAATTAATGGCTTATCTATGGACCGGGTAAGGCCATATCGAAAGATGCACCGACGAACCCCCACAGGATCGAGCCTGGCTAGAGAGCATCGACGTCCACCCGAGCTCGCACACCCAAGCCTAAGCTTGCTTCCGCCGTCGAGGTAACGACCACCTCGCGTCCACGGCCCACGGCTCACGGGGCGCCCTCTCCTCCCCTCCCCCTTCCCCCCCTTACGTTGCGCGCACCAGACCCCCAGCCACGTCGATCGCCTTGGCCTGCGCAGGAGCTGATCGCATCTCGACAGCTGCGCTCTAATGTCTTTCTCTTATTATAGTGATTAGATCCTAGGGCTAAGCAGGGCGAATCTAAACCGCCCGCGACGGCATGCATACGCGTTCTTCAACGAAGGGGGAGAAACCAAAAAGGGGGATATCCTACTCGTACAGTGTCTCTCACTCTCTCTCTCTCTCTGCTCCTGTACACCGGAAGTTTTATAGACGACATGCCACCATTGCCTGTGATCTAAGTCCATCATCGACCCGTTATCATGGAGTCATCACCGGCTTCTTCTAAGCCTTGCCTCCTGGCATCGCCAAGATTCGAGATAGCCATCACCGTACGGCTGCTCCCGCAAACCCCGCTGCGGAAGGCAAGTCGACTCGGGAGATGGTCGGGTTTGCCACGGACAATGGCTTGCCGGGGTCACGGCCACCATTTCATCCTCTTGTAGCTTTCGATGACCTCGACAACCAAATCCTTCGTGATCGTCGGCTTCTCGTACTGGAACCCGACCACCGACTCTAGCCGGCTGCCGTCCATGCTGAGATCCGTGTCCTTCAGCAACTCCTTCTCCATAAACGGAGTCAGCGGGCCCGGTCTCGTTATTCCGGCATCGGCGAGGAGCTCGGCCCATGGTCCGAGAACGTCGTCGTTGACGTCGTCCACGACGCTGTCCATGTTGAGGCGGGCGAGGTTGCTCAGGAGCTGGCCCTGGAACCCCGTCTCGATCCCGAAAACCTGGCCGATAATGTTGGCAATCGTGCCCTGGTTCGTCACGCCTTTGTCGACGACGTTGAATATAGGCACCGGGCCCATGCTCTTCTCGTCCCAATTGGCCTTGCCCGCGTCGTACCAACCGGCAACGGCCCACAGAGCCCGTGTAACATCGTCGATGTGGGCTGTGTTCGTGCGCAAATCTTTGGTCCACAGCCACTTCATCTCCTCATTGAGCGCCTGGTAGACGCGCGCCATGCAGAGCGCTGTCGCTACCCATTGCGACGCATACGGCCCGTAGACGTGGGGCAGGCGCACGACGACGAGATTCAAACTACGCTGGTTAGGCTCAGTCGCTTCTTCTTGGATGTGGTCCCGGCTTACCCTTCGATCTTGGCCAACTCCTCTTCAGCTTGCAGCTTGAACACCGCAATCCTGCTCCAGGGCTTGAGCTTGTCGCCCTCTTTGCTGGGCGACGAGTTCGGCTTGTAGACCATGCCCGTGCTTAACTCCACAAAGCACTTAACTTTTCGTCTCGCCGCCTCGTTGCCGACGGCCAACGACAGGCCCAGGGATCGTACTTTGTATACTTCGTCTTCTTGAGAATACCTCGTCTCGCCGCCGCAGTTAAACACGAAATCCCACTGTTTGCCGTTGGTCCGGTCAAATATCCGCGCTAGCGCCTCTGGATGGAGAGAAGGTCGGGATTAGCAGGGCCCAGAGGACAGAGACGGGCGGGATGCCGTTTTGGGACGTACGCTCTTTGCTCGCATCTGCTTGCATGAATTTGTCGGAGGAACATGCGGCCTCGAACTCGGGTGGGAGCCAGGCCAGTTGCGGTAGGACTTTGTCAACTAGGCGAATTTCGGATGCGAGGTCGTTCTCGTGTATGTATCGGGCTAAGAACCGTCCGACATAGCCCAGCCCGCCGATGATGAGCACCGACGGTTTTTCTGCCGCCATCGTGCGCGACGCTGAGACCCAGAAGGATGCGAGGGAGTTGGAACTGGGCGGAAGCAGAGCGTGAGGTGGTAAGGGAGAAGGAAAAGAAGAGAGAGAAGGGGAAGAAACGGGGAAAGGATTCGAGACGGGACGTGAGCGCGGGCGCGGGGCTTGGTGTCCGAGGAAGGGGGAAGATCGCGGATAGTGGATGACGAAACAAGGCTATTTGATCTTTTTAAAAATCGATTTGTCTTCTCACTTTTTTTTTTCTTCCCTCCCGTCTTGGAGACTTAAGAGGGGACAGGACTCGAACAAGCTACGGAGCACCGACACGACGGTTATGTACTAAAGACCCAAGGGAATGCCTGTACTGTCTGCGGTGGAGAAGGAGTCCCGTCGAGAGGTGTCAGCTGCCCGGAGCTAGTAATATGAGTTCATTTCACGGTTTAGGGGGGGAGGGGAGGGGGAGGGCGGATCCAGTCCAAGCGAGAGAGGCCAGCCCTATATAGACGGGACAAGCAGCTAATAGACCCGGGGGAGGGCGCGCGAGGGTGTGTACTTTGTCCGCCCGCTCAGCGCACGATGGCTAGTGCAACGTGGACCAGGAAGAAGAAGGGATAGGGGAGGGGAGGTGAGAGAAAAGCGCGCGACAGAAGCCAGAGGATGGAAAGAAAAAAAAATTATGTGCCGTACATGTGTGCAATGTGACGCAGGGGAGGCTTGGGGGTTATTATGTATGCACGTATGTATGTGCGGAAGAGGTGGATGTGAAGGTGGATGTTGTAGGTAGGTAGATAGGCAGGTACTGGATCCATGTAGGAGGTATCGAGACGTACGTCGATATGCAAAGTATCATCATGAATGAATCCATGTACGGACGTGGTGGATGTGTGGATTTGTGTGGGTGTGTGGATGTGTGGATGTGTGTGGACGTGTGGATGTGTGGATGTGGGCAGCGTGTGTCTCCTGCATAGAACATTGAAGGAGGAGAGAGAGAGCCCTGGAACTCGCCTTCTTTTCTTTCCATTTCTTCTTCCATTTCTCACCGATCCCTCCTCGTCTCGTTTCAATTCTCGACCCTTTCCCCCATTTCTCCCCGTCGCCCTTGAAAGCTAGGTACACGCCCTCACGCATCCAACCTATCCTACGCGGACCAACTTCTCGTCCGCCATACTGTACATACACACATACATGTAGGCATACCTCCTAGGTACCTCCTACTCACCTCACATACCGGGCCAGACAGGCTACCCGGGCTGAGGCCGAGCTTGGTCGATGGAGTATCAGGAGGAGAAGTTGTGGGGACCAACCGGTTGCTCCTTGTGGTTCCTTGTGGCTCATTTATTTTATGCACCCGGTGGTTGCGGTAACCGCTTAACCACCCCCTCTCTGCTTGCGCTGGCCTGCCCGCGCCCCTGGCCCGCGCTGCGTACTCATACTGGTAACATGCCTACCTTCTATACACGCCTACATACACGTACCTACATAGGACGAAAGACGTGCAGGGGTGGATGTACCTAAAGCAAGCACCGGAGGCGTTGGGCCGCCAGATATCGAACTGATCTGGTTGAGGCGGCTCGTCCTCATTAGGGGGCCGCACCGAAGAAGAACGAGCTTACCTCCTCCCTTCTTGCCAGATGCCTCACCTGTGTATGTATGCACGTGCGTACGTACGTACGTGAGGAACACAGACACGCATCACATCCGTGCCTCTCGACAAGTTACCTTACCTCCTAGGTAGGCAGACATGCAGATATGAAGGTGCGTACACAAGGTTATGTGCGATGCGTATGTAGGCAAGGTGGAAGCGTGCCCATGTCACCAGACGGGTCGGCAACCTACCTAGCGGTACCTAAGATGTCTGTTTAGGAGGTATCCCAGCCTAGCCTTAGGTAGGTTAGGTACCTACGGGTTCCGCTCCGTCAGGGGTCGGGTACCTCAGGTAGGTATCTAACGTGCATGCGCTGAGTCCAGCTCTTAATAGACCTATTATTAGGCTATGTTGGACCATATGTACGTGCGGATCAAGTAGGTAAGGTCAGGCAATCTTCGGCGCCTACCAAGAGGCCGGCTCCCTCTTCGTCAACCGACCTCTCCCGTCCCAGGGAGCAGAGACGGATGAGAAGGCCGTGGTAAGCGGCAGGTTGCGCATCTACATAGTGGACATTGCTCATATGTCGGCACCATGTTGGTCTGCGACCTCCCTCCCGGGCAGGTAGACGACAAGCAGGTGGGGGATATGGCGAGGAACTGGACCGATAGTATTTCGCTGCATCGTGGCATACACCCGCTGCCTTGCGCGTTGATGCTGCTACGTAGGTAGTACACGTTGACAGCGCCAATGCCCGCCTCAGCGCTCCCGCACATACCTCCTACATATATAGGTACACACGTATCCTCTCCTTCTCCTGCATCTATAGAAACCTGTTATGCAATGTAACTTGAAGGGTGCGCCCACCGCAGACCTGAGCATGCGCGTATGTTTGGGGATATGGTGAGACCATGGTCTCAAAGTCGTGGTGCCGTGCGGAATAGCGGAGAAGGAAAACCGGCAAAGAACGAAGCCAAGTGTGGATTCGTTCTGACGGGACGGCAATAATAGCGAAGAGCGAGCTGGCGAAGAGAGCCGGGTACCGGAACTTGCCGCTTTCTTCAACACTCTTCCTTGCAGGCTTCCTCACTCGCAGTCGGGGGAGGGCCCTGAAAACTGACGAGGCGAGACGTTGCTGGCGGACGAGATCACGAGGAATGGCGAGAAGGCAAACACGATTAGGATTAAAGGAGGCCCCTCTTATGGTTGGACCGCGCGCTGCAAGTCTACGATGGGCAACTGAGGCGAAACCTGAGATCGATCACTTACACCAGGTAGCACGACGAAAACCTGAAACGCATACAAGAACAATAGGTACATACCTATCCAGGAGGTAATACTGAACGTGAGAGTGGAAAGGGGGGGTTTTTTTTTTTGAAATAAATAAATAAATAAAAACATGATACACCAGCCTGGACAGTTTCGCGGGAGGCATCTACCTACCTACCTAGACCTTGATTATATCAGGTATATCACACCACGATATACCGACGTTAGGTACCTGCCTACCTTAGGTGCCTACACCAGCTCATTAATACCTCCTAATTCACCATATTGCTCGCTTCTATCGTCGATATTGCCGGTGTTATAGGGATTCCGTGGTATCGATCAATGCGGGACGGCATTCTGCAGCCCTCTCCTACCCTCCCACCTACCTAACTAGGCAGGTTTGTCTGCTCAGGTAGCCTCCGCCCGCTGGCCGTGTGCTAATCTCCCATCCGCTGAGCCGCAAGGAGGAGGCTTCAACCCCGGAACGAGACGGCAGACGCGCACCACACGACAGCGCTCGGCGCACCAGGCGCGATGCTTCCTCAGCAAGGCAACTTATTAGGCGGCACCCGACCATCGAGGCAGATAGATATATCTACCGAGGCAAATAGAGAGATACCTACCTCCATACCGCGGGAGGTAGGGAGGTACGGACCTGGGGTAGGGTAGGTACCTAAGTAGGTAGATAGGTAGGTAGGCAGGTACTATACAGATTACAGCGACACGTCTTTGTCGCCCTCTTTTCTCCCTTGTCTTTCCCGCTTCCCTCTCGTCTCTCTCCTCCAACACGCAAAGTTGTCCTCTTCCCACCCAAGAGCCCACCGCCACTAAACCCCGTTCCCTCTCCAAATTCTGCATCCGCTTGGCCTCATTTAACCCGACCCTCCATTGGACGCTGCGCTGGAAGTGTCTGCGTACTTCCACACGGCCACGTACCCTTCCTCGAAAGTATGTGAAGGTACGCAGATAAGGAAACAGTGAAGAAGAGAAATGGGTGACGAGGCTTCATCCGATGTTGCATTTCACCCGCCCCCAGCATCGTCGCGACGTCAAATGCCCCCGGACTTTGCGGATCGTCAGTATCAGATATCCGCTTTACGCTGACGCCCCTGCTCCTCGGGCCTGCATACACACGCACATACATGTACATACATACCTTGTGTAGGCCCGTGTGGGAGCGAGAGTCAGAAGAGAGAAGGGTGACAAGGGGGGAGGGGGGAGGAGAAGACCCACGCAGCCTTCGATACCCTCCCCCTCCCCGGCATCCGTACGCTTCATCCTTCCTACACCTCCAAGCCTCCCGCGGGTGGCCTTCCAGATTTTCTGCTAATTTGGACATGGCAATCGCCCAGCTCACGTCGCAGCGATATGATGTATAACCGGCCACCGCAGAGATAGCACATGATGACACCACCCTTGCAGTGCAGTCATAAGCACTACTGTCCCGAATATTCCAGGCCCATTCCAACTGAGCACCGAAAACGTCCTGCCGTGCAAGGTCATACTCATGACAGCGATGTCCTGGATCCTACTCCATTGGCCGTGCTGATTATGTACCCCCCCCGCCAACAGAAAATTCTCCTCGACGGCAGAAGTTGGCGACTTTGACTTCGGCCTTCGTGGCGGTCCAGTCAGTATCTGGCGTAGGCCTCCCCTGCGGCGGGGGACGAAGGGGCTACGGGCAGCGCCAACGTCTTGACAGCCAATCTCTTCCTCATTTGCGCAGACGTTCGGACAGGGGGGTTCTACTGGTCGGCCTCTGTGCGCCCTGCGCCTCCGAACCCCAACGAATAAACCCCCTATATGTAGTCGCCCGGATGCTCTCCCCATCACCCCAGGCTGAGGAACGGGCGGAACCCCCTTCTAGAAATGTTCTATGCAGCGTACATCATCCGGGGTGTCGTCAACCAGCAATCTGCTTGTTTGCTTCTCGTGTCTCGGGTCGCGCAGGACAGACTACATCTCAGACCACGCGCTATCCGAGGAGGACTGCTGGATATGCAGGAGAACCCCACGAGACGATAGGTACAATTTCCGACACGCGAGACAACGGCCAGCCCATTTGTCCTTTTCTACTACATCGGATAGTCTCCCCGGTGGCCGCGTGCACGATAGGGTGATCTCGGTATTCTAGAGAAACTCCATAATCTTCGCATATCATCTCGGAGGTGCTGACCAGACAGACGCTTTACTCGGGAACAACCGCCGGTGGCTAGCCGGTGGCTAATACATTCGACTACCACTTTGCGCGGCAGGATGGAACGAGATGGTGTCATATTGCCGGGATATCCTACAACATCCCAGACGCCTTCTTGGTCACCATGAGAGGGTTTTATGTCGCCGCTGGCTTTCCTCATTCGACCAAGTCTAGATCTCTCCAACTCGGACGCTGGTGTATAACAGGTATTCGTTGCTACTCTTTTTCTCATCAGCACCGACCCTCCCCCCCCCCCTCCCCCTCCCCCACCCTGGTTCATTCCATCGTCGATTGATTTTGGATGGAGATCATTGAGAATGTCTCGTCCGCCCAACGAGTCCCGTTTGACTTCCGTTTGCGATTCATCACAGAGCCTTGTTGGGCACGCGATAGGACTGTGTGCACTCGAACGAAAGGAAGAATTGTCGTATTTCCATACCATCCTGTCTGCCATCCCTGGTAACCCCTGAAGGGAAGAAGAGAAACAGATTCTCGGCCCGGAGTACGTAAGGATCATCGGTCGACTTGTATCCAACAATTTGATTCGCCTTTTCTCGGAGGGCGCGCAGGTTGCATGTTTTATTTACTATGCAGTGACGATGCTGCGGGAACGTGGTAGTGTTCCATCGCATTTCCGCTTTGCTGAGCACCTAGGAGAGAAATGTCATCAACCTCAAACCCTCCCCTATTCTCTCTACCCTACCCTACCCTGCCCCCCCTTTTGCTCTTTCTCTTTTTTTCTTTCTCTCGGAAATAACGCCTTCTAGACTTGCGCGTTCGAGGCTGCAGAATCTACAATAACCATCGATGGATAGCTAGCTAGGTCGGTCAGGAAGGTCATGCGAGTCATTCGGCGTTGCCACCCCCCCCCCCTTTTTTTTTCTTCTCTCTCCCCATCCTTCTACCAATATCACACATGCGCCTTAGACACGGCATCGTCCCTAGAAAAGAGTTTTTTTTAGACACACGCGCGCACAGTGAAACGAAGACGGGCCGGTCTAGGGTTTTCAGCGAGCAAAGCTCTCTCGAGCTACCTACCGCCCCTCCCGAATCCCCCCTTTTTCCTCTCAGTAGATGTGTAGTCTATCTATCTGGCCCGCCTGCCTGTCTGTCGTTTCGATGTCACCCTATGCCTGTTTTCTGTTTCCACCGTCGCCCGGAACGGCATCCGACGTGCCCTCTTCCCCCCACCCCCACCCCAGGGCTTTCCCGCCTGGGGTGATGATGACGATGATGAGGATGAGGATGGCTGTACGATCAGGCCCTGCGCGTCGTGCGTTCTCGTCCGAAGCCTCCGGAGCCCGGGAGAATTACGATAGAACTGCCCCCCCCCTCAAGTCGCTACCGCCGTCAGCCGTCGTCTGGGACCCTGGATGGGATGGCAAAGACGAGCGACGAACAGGCAAGGCTAAGTATCTTGGCTGCACGCGTCGATCGATCTTATAAGGCGGTGCTGTCAGAGTTCTTACGCTGCTCAACCCTGCTCTGTGCTAGAACGCCGGGTCCCATCGTACGATCAAGATCTTGTGGGGGAAGGGGTTCGTCAATCCCTTCCCCCCCCCCCTTTTTTTTTCAAGAATACGTAGGCAGGTAATGTTAGGGGAGCGAAACGGCCCACCGGAGAAACCTCGGCTCTTTCTGTACATACATTCGTCCATATACGCACACACATGCAATATACGGCCTGGGGGTGCTCGCCCCCCTGGATGGTCCACCGAGATACTCGGTCTCAGACATTTCCCTCTTCGAGACTCTACGTGCGGCTCGTCACCCCCCCGATCCAATGTTGCCGTGTAACTCCTGTCTATCGCCGTGATACTCTGTAGGTATGTTCTCGTCCTCCGTCCACCGAACTGTCTCTCCCCCTTGGGTGTGGTTACCTAAGGCCTAGACGGGAAGCAGCCTCTCTCACGTACCGTGCTTCGAGAGCGCCACTGGTGCGCGGGTCAACGTTCCCCGTCACCGCAGCATGCTGCCGATGATCTCCTTCTGGGCCTCCCGGTCCCTGGCGCCCTCGCTCAGGCTCCCGACGCTCCTCAGGTCGCCGACGACGTCCTTGGCCTTGCCGAAGTAGACCTCCTGCAGCAGGTTGCGCATCTTGAGCTCCATGTCCTCGACGAGCTTGCCGATGTTGGCGATCTGCTGCTCCTCCGTCTCGGCCGGCAGCTCGATCTCGATCTGGCGCGTCATGTTGCCCGACAGGTCCATCTCGCCGAGGCTGGCCGAGTTCGTGGACAGGGACAGGAGCACGGTCGAGGTGAGATTGTACTGCGTGAAGCGGGCCCGGTCGATGGCCTCGAAGACGTGGATCGAGTCCCAGGTGCCCTCGCTGGCGGCGCCCGGGGTGGCCACTAGAGGGTGCGGATGGCGGGTTAGCCCAGTACACGACGATTCCGCCAGCCGCGTTGCTAATCTATATTCGACGCCACTGGCCCCCGTCTGTGCGCTCGGCAGCCAATTGCTGCTGTCCTGGGTCTTATGTGTGAAATGCAAGATCTGTAACCCCCGATCCAGCTTAGATACCATGTGACGAGCCTTCCTCTCCTCTTTTCATCTTAACTCGATCTTAGATCTTATGTCTTGATACCTTGAGGCATGAAAAGCGCCGAGTGTCTTGGAATGTTCTCGGAAGGATATGGTTTCCCACATCTGCTTCCTCTAGCATCTACACCCAAATTGCCCGACCACCCCCTGGAGGAACCCCGGGAAGACACAAAATTGGCGAATGCAACAGCATACGAGCAATCTGGGACACCGCGAGATGCAGAGCGGTAGCTAGGCACTGAGACAGATGCATACGAAGATAGGTGGCAATAGCAGCGAGAACACGATGGTCGCACAGGCAAGCCAAGGATATAAAATAATAATAAAAAAGGTTAAGAAGGGCGAAGGTAAGGGAGGCCAAAGCGAGTAAGGGGAGGGAGGGGGCTAGCCGAGCTGGGACTCACCCTTCTTCAACAGAACGACGCCGGCGAAGCCGTCGTCGAGGTTCCAGAAGTAGACGCTGCTGACGCCGCCCTCGTAGTAGAGGTCGCGGTAGACGTCGAAGGCCTCGTTGGCGCGGACCTCCATCCGGCGGACCTTCTCGCTGGGGAGGGAGGGGGCGGCGGCTCCGGCTCCGGGGTCGAGCGGGGGGTCGAACTCGTTGCTCCAGGGGGAGCGGTAGCTGTCGCCGTCGCGGTTGTAGTCGCAGAGGAGGTAGTCGCGGCCGGTCTGGCGGCAGCGGCGGATGGCGAGGGGCTGGTCGACGGAGGAGAGCAGGTCCTCGGTAAGGTCGGGGGCGAGGCGGATGAGTGCACCGAGGTGCGCCGTCGTGTGCTTCGGGTTGAGGCGCCGGAGGAGGTCGCTGTTGCCGGCGTTGGAGGCGGTTAGCTCGGTAGGTAGATAGGCAGGCCATGCATGTAGCGAGGTGAGGGGTAGGTGTATACGCGTACGTGTGATGTATGAGGTTCGCGTAGAGAGCTTGTCGACAGGGCAAAAGACAAGAGAGCGGGGTGTGTATACATACAGGGCTGAGTCGAAGGGGTCGACAGCCGCCATGGTGAGCTGGGATTGGGCTTAGCCGGTATATGTATACCTATACGTCTAAGGCTAGGCAAGCCGGCGAGGAAGCAAAGGCGGAAGAGGGTTACGTGAGGGCGGGAGGGGGGCGGAAGGCCGACAAAGGGAATTCGGCAGAGAGCTAGATTTGGCGTCGTCGCTCACGGAGGCTGAAAGGAGAGTTTCGGACGAGCCGCTGTCGGGGTGGGTAGGGTAGGCGGAGGTAGGACTTGGCCGTGAAACGGTGGCTGGTGATGGCGGTCGGCAGTGTGGGTTCGATAGGCGTAAGGCTAAGAGGGGATAGGTTGGAAGAATGGATGGTGTTGTGGTATGAGTATGTGGTGGGGTGGGGGGTAAAGAAGGAGGGGGAGAAAGCCGTGAAGGCTACCTAACTTGCGATACGTACCTACCTATAGGAGAGGGCGTGGATGGTGGGGTTCGTGAAAAGTGGGGGAATTGAGGAGGGCAGACGGTTATCATAAGGTGGGAGTATTCCGTACGGCTAGGTACCTACCTCCTAGAGGTGAGTAGAGGAAGTATTCATGAGTACACCTGCTGAATAGGTACCTACCTGTTTAAGGTAGAGGTATGTAGTAGGTAGGTACATACCTACGTAGTGGAGTGGGACGCAAGGCGGGCGCGGCCTCAGCTAACATATGTAAGGTTTACGTGGTACCCAGGCAGGAATGCAGCCGGGTAAGGCAAGAACTCACGTCAGAGGCCCCGAAGCTATACTCTAAGCTTCAGCCACATCTACCAACCTCTCTCTATTCTTATCAAGGTTATTACACGTTGACGCCGTAGCTATTTCCCACCACATGCTTACCACAGGTACCTGTATAAGCAGCCACAGGCACACCGTCAACATTCACCACATATTCCCAACATGTTCACTTCTCTTCAGTTCGGCCCCCGTCGAAGCGTTCGTGTGCCGGCTAGGATGTTGCATCTGCTTTTTCCTTTTCGTAAAACTGCCTAGGTCCTGGCTACGTACATCGGATATTCCCGCCGCGATAAGTACGCAACTCTCAAACCTGTTACAGACTCATCTACTACACATTGGTTAGCTAGGTATGTAGCCACCGCAGGCGTCGCCGCATCCTCTGCTGGCCCCCCATCTTGACCCAGTACAGGACCCGACTTTCGTCTTTCGTGGGCTGAGCCGGTTGACAGAACCTCCCGTTACCTGACCTGCGGCAGGCGGCGTCTGGCGACTCGCCCACCGTAATTACCCCCGGTCCACCTTTCTCTCCAGTTGGTATAAAGAAAGACAGGTTGGTTAGTAATAACCAGTCAATGTTGTATGGTAGGCCAAAAATCGGGATTCCGGCTACTTTACACCTCTCCCCGCTTTCGTACGCGCCCAACTGTGTGCTGTTCTCCGAAGACGGAACGATGACAGCGACGACATCCAAAGTTTTTTTTTTCCTTACCCCATCCCAACCGCTCTTCGATCTGCTCACGCTAACAATGGCTCGAGTTCATCGAAGGGGAAGAAAAAGGAATTAATGGCTGACTGCAATAATGGTTATACCCCCGCAAGAAAAAATGCAGGGTATCGTAGTGTTCTCTCCTTCCCAGAACGCCGGGCAAGCAAATAACATCATCAACAAATTCGAGAAGGAAAAAAAAGACACGGTGACGTCGGTGGTATATACTTATCAAACCCAAGGTCACCGCCCTTGTATACTGAATACATTGCACTAGTGCTCGCATAATATCACTCAATCTCCTGCCCACAGATAAGACAGTAGAGTGGCTCTGTCCACGTCTTATCTCCGCCTGTAACGTCTCCCCGAATATCCGTGATTTCGAGCATTGGCGGGCTCGACTCGTTTAGGATGACCGCCTCGAAAAGTCCCTCGTACGGCTTAGCCGGCGGTTGGTCATCGGGCTCAGACCTACGTGGCCGCCCTCTCCGCTTTGGTTCCGAACTGCTCGCCACCGACACGCTGGCCCCGTTCTCCGCCTTAAACACGGGTAGGGGGTTCTCGACATCGGCCAGTTTTATCGTCGGATGCTCTTCTGGCTTGACGTCGATGGATTGCTCCGCCGTCTGCGCCGCGCCCGACTCGCTAGGACTCAGGGGTCGTCGAGCGCCATCCTCCCCTTCCTCCTCCTTCAACGGCGCGGGCTTGTGAGGTTTGTCGGTCCCTAGGCGCTTGAACGTTTTCATGAGACCTTCGTGGATCAGGCACTCGTCGTGGAGCCATTTCTTGCAGTCGTCGTTCGAGCAGCCGAACAATCGCTTGTCCGGATTCTCGGGCCGGTTACACTTGCAGCGCAGCTCAGCCGCCTGTGTACGCACTCCATTAGTTGGGGGGTTTAGGGAGTGAACGGGCACGAAGGCAAGACCTACCGAGAGCTCCATGCTGCGCACGTCGAAAGCCTGGCGCCAGTATAGTGCCGACTGTACTTCGTCCTCATTCGTCTCGTCCCATTGATGGACAGGAGCCGTGGCGGTGACGCTGACTACATTGATCACGTCCACTATTGCGTTGTTAGGGGAGCATTGTGAGCAGGGAGAACCACTATCGTGACGTACTGTGATTAGAAGCAATCAATTCGTTTGCGCCGTGGTACCATTGTCTTCCCTGGATCGATTTCTTCCCGTCCTGTGTCCCTGGTGGTAGCTCGTCCGGCCAATACATCCAATAGACGCGCGCGTAGACGTGATGCTCGTCGCTCGCTCGTATCTCCAGGATGCGCGCAACCCAGTCTTCGTCTGACCTCTTTCTGGGTTGGAGGGCCTCTCCCGGGTTCTTTTGACGTTCGATAGTGGAACTATTGGCGACGAATATGAAGCCCTCGCTCCAGTATTTAACGCCGTTAACTGATATCTCCCTCGTTAGAGGACGCGCAAAGGTAGTGAAGAGGAAACGGGGTACGTACGGACGAAACTGTTGTATCGGGTCATGTCCATCCATCTTTGATATGGCAGTACTTGGTAATGTCGGTCCATCGTGTTGTTCGGATCTTTGAATTTGCCCACCGGCGGGAAGGGCGAGGCTTGTAGCAAGATCTTAGGCTGAGGATGATCTTCCGACTCTTGCCGCCTGCGCTTCGCCTTCTTTTCCTTCTCGTTCGGGTTGGGATGGACCACGCTGAAGGGACATTCCGCCTGACTCTCCTCTATGTCTGGGCGTGGCCGCTTACGCGCAGTCGCCATCTTATAAAAATCCAATTGAAGCCTTGACCGGATATCGAGGCCGGCGCGAACCTCGACGCTTCGCGACGGGGACGGGTGGGAATACGAGACCGTATGCGGACGTCGAGCGCGCTGGAGAGGAGGGAGGGCGGCTTCGTCTATCGCAATCGGCAAGGGAGCAAGCACAATCGGAGGCTATTTAACAGCACGGGGAAGAAAGGCAACGTCAATATCGGCGTTATCTTATTGTTTGTAGATGGGAAGTTCAAGCTCGGTGGTATGGGATGAAGTTCGGACGGTTGTTGCGATTGAGGAAATTCGTCAGCCAGAAAACAGGCGTGGCGGGGAAGGGGGGAAATATCGGGCTGCTTGGCGCGTCTCTCTCTTATTCCCAAAGCTGTCCTGTGAAATTGCTACGGCTCCCGTTGGTCTGGCCGAGAATCACCCTATGGGTAGCAGCTTAAAGGCTTACCCCCCACGCGACCTGTAAACGGCAAAGTCGAGGAGACGACGAGGATGTGACGCAGACCGCCTCGGGTCGGGTACGAGAAGGCGATGACGGGGAGAGATAGGGAAATTTGAGATTATCACGAGAAAGACGTGAGGAAAGGAAGGTCGGAGAACGGGAAGGGAAAGGTCGGCGATGAATGGTTGCGATGGCGCGTTTCAATCCGTTCCGATTCTGCCGCTACCTGCACCTGCCTATAGCATAACTCAACGGTAACCTGCCACCCGACACTGCCGGAGATATGCGCTGCTGCTGGCAGGTAAGTACCTAGGAAGGGGGGAGAGCAGGAAAAAAAAAAAAAAGACAGGAGCGGAGGTCGGTTTGAAGCTACCAAAAGTGCTAGGACGAGACTACCCAACCTAGGAACCTGGGGGGCCCTCGGGTACCTAGGTACCTCCACACTGCATATGTGCATCCGTCTATACGTAGAGGTACCTAATGTATATATACACATATATATATCTGCCTGTATATACCTACCTAGGTATCTATGTATACAGATGCAATCACATATGTACATATACATACCTACCTTGGTACCGCATATACACGTGCGAGGGACCTAGGCACATAACATTACCTGCTGTAGGTACCTGGGAGGTAGGTAGGTACCTCCTATAGGTTAGTATCTGTCTCTCCTCACTGTAGGCTGTACCTCCTATTATCTCCTTACCTGACTCCCGTCGAAGCCGTTCGCCGGCGCGCCTAATCCCGGTCGGGAATTATGTAGTGCACTAGCTACCGTCAGCCATGTTAGCTAGGTAGGCACTTACAAATGTCCCTATAACGTTAAGCATGCCAACGCTTCTTAGTACGGCGATCATCCTTACATATGTCTATCTACTCCTTTCTGTCGACATAGGTATCTACTCATATGTGCTACTATACGTTGTACGTGTGAAGGCACATAACTTTTCATGAACACGTACGGGCCAGGACAGGACCCAGAGCACGTTACCAGCTTAGAAGAAGCTTCCATCTCCTCGCTGAGGTGCAGGTTACCAGGAGTACGCACAGCTTTCGCCGATGAGACCGTGTAAACATAACTAAGTCGGTGGCTGGCGACTATTGGTTTTAGCTCTATTAGTAAGCTTCCCGGGACCGTGTTATTGGTGCAACCAGTCTGCCAGGATAACTCGGCTCCTGGACAACATACAGTATCAATATACGTGTACACAATTTAGTCCAACTTCTGTATTGAAACACAAGTGTTGCTTACATTCCGAGAGGTCTTTACACCTATACATGCTCATTCTCATAATTCCCTATACTCATAGTCAACGCCGTCGCTATGCAAGATGGCCCCTCACGTGATAGGATGGAAAACATTACGCCCTGACCTGGTGGCCATCCACCTGCTACTCCTCGTCGCCGCTGTATGTGCCCAGCATCCGTTGGTTTTCGGGAGTATCGCGAGACGCGTCGACGTCGCTGTCTTCCCTGCTCTTGAATCCTTCGATCACTTCAGCCAATTTCTCTCCGTCGAACTTGCCGCGCTCGATATTGACGAAGTATAGGATCGGCGCCGGGATACCGACCAACGCCGCCAGAAACCAGAAGGCCGGACGGATGTCCCCAGAGGCGTCTATGATGGCTCCGACTATCACCGGGCCGAATACGCTCGAACCTTTGTCCGTAATGGCGTAAAGAGCATAGAACGCCGCCTCGGAACCAGGAGGAATCAGCTCACCATACAGGGAGCGGCAGTATGAACTGAGTCCGCCGAGAACTAGTCCATAGACGGCAGCCAACGGGTACATCTCCCACGGTCTTTGAAGTCCCAGGACTCCCCATTGCCGGACGAAGGGCAAGTAGCCGAGAAGGCCGTACAGGGGAATGGTTTCGAAAAGCGCGATGCAGCTCAGAATGGTTTGGTGTGGCTTCAGCTTGAAATGTTTCGAGACGAATGACCAACTGAACGCGCCCACGACGCCCGTTGTCGTAGATATAACGTTGATCATCCCTAGTGCCCACGGCTTCATGCCTAGTTCGGTCTTGGCGAATAAGATTGCCGTCGAAGACGTCGTTGCGATGGCATCGGAGATCAGAAACCAGGCGGCCAGGAACAGGACGATATCAACCAAGCGGCGCGCCAGCTTGACGGTCCGGTACAGGTTTCTCCAGGAAAAAGCTATGTACGAAAGCCAGGCGCGGATACCCTGGTTCGCGCCCCCTCCAAGAGGAGGCCCAGGCCTCGGTCGAAGCCATATCGCTGCCGGGATGGTGAAGATGGCCCACCATGCTCCAACGAAGCAAAGGACGACACGCTGGGACCAGATCGAGCTACCCATGCTCAGTAGGATCATGATCGAGATGCATTGCACGAACAAGGCAGCGCCGTAGCCGATTCCGATACCCTTTGAGGATATTTGTGTCGATAGTTGAAGCTCGATAGAAGTAATCTCTTCGTGGGTTGGCATTTGCTGTAGGTCATACCCATCGGAGCTATCGTCGTTTCGCGGCAGCAAGGCGCTCGTCGAATTGCTTAACCCATCCTCGGCAAGAGTCGGCGATGTGGAGAAGGAACGAGTCTCTTCCGCGTCATGGTGAAGGTCAAAGTCGTCAGGTAGGCCGGCCGTCGACTCCTGCAATTGCGGGTGATGGCGGACGAGGAGGGGGAGGAAGGAATTGAGGAGGACGAAAGACGCCCCGAAGGACGTGTTGGAGACGATGGCGAGTAATGCACCGAGGACGTATATCTCCTTGAAGATGAAGATATAGAACATGACAGAGATGCTTCCCACCCAGGCGAAGGTCAACAACAGCCGCTTTCGATAGTTGCCGTGATCGGCCGCACAGCTGATGCTAACCACCAGTAACGCCTGGAGCAGAACGCTGATGCTGAAGGTGTACATAGCGAAGCTTGCCGTGTTGATCTCGAACCCGACGACCGTAACGACACACGGCCCATGGGAATTATCGCCGCAGGGGGTATCGCGGTCGGAGAGGAGGACGCCATTTTCTCTAGCCAGGCTCTCTAGCAGGATGGGAATAAATGAAGCTGTCCAGCGTATGTAAGCGCAGATCGATAACGGAAAAAGAGAGGTATATGCTGTTTCTATATATAGGCACGACGTGCTATATCTAACCGTTCTCGACGTGACGGTGTACTGGGCTACCGAGCGGATGGGGTATTGGAGACGCAAGATACGGCTACTCACAGATTGCTGGTGATTGTCAGCACAAGTTTTGCGATGCTAGGGCAGAACAGCAGGCAATGGGGAGGAGCAAGGCTGGGAACGGACTGACCGCATATCACGTAGGTCTCGGCTGCGAAGGCGTACATGTACCAGCCGGCAAGCTCCTTGCTGCTGGTCGGACGCGTATCTTCGCCCGGATAGCGACCGGGCGGCAAGTCATCTTCGATGCTGTGGGTGGACGTCATTCTGCTGAAATCGGAGGAGGTCGAGCGTTCATCGTCGGCTTCGAAGGAGGAAGAATGGGAACGGAGCGAGTGCTTGGAGGCGATTGACTGGATTGAGAGTAATCGCGGGTTGGGAGGCGGGCGCCGAAACACGTCTTCGTTCCGCGGGACCATAATTAGACAGACGACAGGGAAATTGCTTTGATTAGGTATTCCTTCCCTAGGGGAAGGGAGGGGGGTCGGCTGACGAAATGACAGGCGTCGTGTAACACGAAGTACCTGACGAAACGGCCTGATGCCGCCTGGACCTTAACCTAACAGCCGACGTTAGCGGAAGGGTTAATGATCGGTGACGATCAACGATACATCACCCGAGAGAGCGAAGGTGAAGCGAGGTGAGGTAATGCACGGGCAGCTGACGCGAAGCCAGCCTGATATGAGGTAGGTAGGTAGAGGTAGGTAGGCAGGTAGGCAGGTAGGTAGAGGTAGGTATGCACACAGCGTCGGTCGGTATACCTACCCATAGCAAGCACACACGGCGGACGCGGGCATAGCACATACCTTTATAAACCGAACACCTTATCCACTGCCCATCCGAGTATTCGAGGTAAGATCGGCACGTTGGGCATCTGGAGGCTGGCGTTATTGACCTGGGCTCGGGTTAACTGATCAAAAATGAGAATGTATATACTTATGTATATGGGTATGTAGGTGTGTATATATGTGTATATATGTGTGTGTATATGTGTGTATATGTATATACACACCTACATGCATACGGGAGGTACCTACCTTAGGTGGGCACACATGAAAGTATGTCGACCCGCCTAGGCTTAGGTGGTGCTCCATGAAGGTGCTGTGCATATAAACCTACCTACAACAACTAGGAAGTGTCGATGGCCTCAAATCCCTGTCTGTGAAGGAAGTTGCACCTGGGCGGGTCCCGGGTTTCCCCAGCAAGGCGGCCAGACCTCCTCGAGTCTAGACAAGACTGCGTTTAACCAGCGATCCAAAGACCGCAATGCGTTGCGAACTCACTCACCTGCTGTGTCCAATCTTGCGAGCCCTGTCGCTCGGCGAATTGCTCTCTCTCTCTCTCTCTCTCTCTCTCTCTCTCTCTCTCTCTCTCTCTCTCTCTCTCTCTCTCTCTCTCTCTCTCTCGTCTGCCGGTCGACTTACGGGACGAATGCACTGGGCCTACTATATAACGCTCTCCCCCTTCGCGATACCACCATAAAACAAAATAAGAGCCGGTGCCACGATCGATGCAGGGACTTTCTCCAGCTAGGCTCCCTACGCCGTCCGTCTCTTCGAGGGTTGAGGCTGTGCCCTAGTCGACCTCGTATCGGAGCCGGAGCCGCACTGGTCACTGGGTGAATAGATGAATATACAGACGAGCAAATTGAATGACGGGCATATATACGACAGGGAAGTTGCCGGGCTCTATCTCTCTCTTCTACCGCGAAAAGACGACGACGGATCTCTGGCACTAACAGATACCCCGGGACCAGGCCATCCATCAATCTGCCGCCCTACCCTACCCCTCGTTTCTCCGTGGCCTAACGGTTCACGAACAGCGTCCCATGACGCTGCGGGGGAGGTGGGAGGCGAGGCTGAGACTGGAGATCGTCATTAGATCCTGTTCACTATACCTATAACGAGTGCGCTATCGGGGAATCCCCTAGCATTGAGTTGTAAAGGTTTGGTTGGTGTCAGAAGCGCAAGACGCGGTTGGTCCTCGAAGCCCAGTCGACGCTTCTTCCAGCTCCACACACCTACCTATAGCGTTGACGACGAAAGGCCAATGGAGGCCGACTTGGTCGACTGCATGGCGCCCTGCCACTAGCATTTTTGCTCCGTTGCGATTGCGATTCACAGAGTTGATCACACGAGACGCTAATTCACACGCATGTACAACGCACATATATAGGTACCTAGGTACCTACCTATGTGTAGGTATAAGTCACGTCGCGAATCATTTTTCTAGCCACATGCCAATCCCTGTAGGGGCAAGATTCTCAACCGAGAGTTGGACCTGAGCACTCTTCCCCTAACTAGTAGGTGAACCAAGCGAAGCTAAGCTTTTTTTACATGGCCATATTCGTCCCATTAACCTGTTATAGAGCCAAACAAGGCGAGGTTCGATTCGGCCCCCATTCCGACTCTAATACGGGCCCTCGTCTCTTCTTTGCTCCGTAGGACCGTAGGATTCGAGCGTGCCTGAGATCGGAAGCGTTCATGCTTACATGGCCAGGCTTGACTAGTTGGAGCCGCAGGCGACGCAAACTGAGATTGGCGAATGTTACGCTCCCAGTTGCCCAGTTCTCTCTTGAAGCTACCTGCGTCCAGCTGCATCCACTACGCGGGCTGTTCCCTTCTATAGCCTATATGCAACCTCCCATTATATGCTACTACGTATGATTACGAGAGCCCCGACGCCCTCTAAACCACGTGGTGGCTGGGACCTGATCTCTCCGAATCTTACGGCTCTCGGCAGTCTGTGCTCTCGTGACCGAGTTGAGGTTGCTCGACCTTACCCTCTTAGCAAGTGGTTTAACCCCGAGGTGAGAACACATCGTGACTAAATAATTGAGAACCTACCTTAGCAATATCGTTCTCCGGGGCGGGTCAGAGGTATGTGGCTCCTCCGTGGACATGTATAGTCTTGCCAGCTACGCGCCTCATGACGAACACTCAAGCAGACGAGAGAGCGATGAGAGGCGCGCTTAGGATCACGCTTCTACCCTTAATTGGCACTTTGTCTCGGAACACCGAACCCGAGCATTTTCTATCAGAAAATTCACCCCTTACGATATACAGCGGCAACATCTATATTCATCACTAGCATTGACTTTAGGCTATTCTCGTACCATGCACACCCTTTCACGGGCCCATCGAGTTCTTGTACTAGAACAGGACTTCTGCCTTGTGTTTTATCAAGTTCTGCGACATATCCCTTATTGGTCACTCCGGGCCCCTGCCCCAGATTCCCCCTCAATTTTTGTTCTATTCATGTTGCTCGGAGAGATGGAAAAGGCTCCCTCTTTCAACCGTGAGGACATCTCAGTCTTAGGCATTTACCACCATGTTGCCCCTATTTTACCGCTGCCAGGCAGCCGAAGAACTACTTTGTTGGATATGACCGTGGAACCCAGTCTAGGCCTACCTACCTCGGGCGTGATCTTCCGTACCCCTTGATCGGCGACTATAAAGCTGAGGGACGTGACTGCTTCACAGTTGCTATGCCGCCCTGGCCTTTAAAGCATCGCTAAGCCCTCACCAAATACCCAAGTACTCAACCGCCTTGACGGAACTGGCTACGATGAAGTCTACTCTCCTGTTTCTGCTTGCCCCCTTGACTGCTCTTGGCGCCCCGGCAGAGCTCGCCGGGAGACAGGCAGCGGAAAGCATAGACACGCTCATCAAGGCTAAGGGAAAGCTGTATTACGGAACATGCACTGACCAGAACCGTCTGTCCACTGGCAGGTCTGCCGATATCATCAAGGCGAACTTCGGCCAGGTGACTCCTGAGAACAGCATGAAATGGGATGCTACCGAGCCCTCCGAGGGCCGGTTCAACTTCGCCCAGGCTGACTACCTCGTCGACTGGGCCGTGGCGAACAACAAGACCATCCGCGGCCACACTCTCTGCTGGCACTCGCAACTCCCGGGCTGGGTATCGCAGGTCAGAGACAAGCAAAAGCTGACCCAGGTCCTTCAGAACCACGTCACTACCCTTGTTTCGCGGTACAAGGGCAAGATCTACGCCTGGGTGCGTCCCGTCGTGCAGACATGCACGGATTCCCCGGCTCCTGAGCACCGGACTAACCCCATCGGCAGGATGTCGTGAACGAAATTTTTAACGAGGACGGCTCTCTCCGACAGTCCGTCTTTTCTCAGGTTCTCGGCGAGGATTTTGTCCGCATCGCCTTCGAAGCTGCCCGCGCGGCCGACCCCGACACCAAGTTGTACATCAACGACTACAACCTGGACCAGCCAAACGCGTGCGTAGATTCCCCAAGACCGTTCATGCGTCTCCTTCCTCTTATTACTAGGCATATATATGCACTTCCCGGAGATGGCTTCGGGGCAATGGTGGCGAAGAACGGGGGCTCGCTTGATATGTGACGTATATATGGTAACTGAAGAAGGCTAACTAGCATTGGGATGTAGTGGCAAGGTCACTAGGGGCATGGTTGACCACGTCAAGAAATGGCTCGCCGCCGGCGTCCCCATCGACGGCATCGGAAGCCAGGCCCACCTAACGGGTGGTCTCGCTAACCAAGCTGAGGCCACTATCAAGGCTCTGGCCGCCGCTGGCGTCGATGAGGTTGCTTTCACCGAAGTCGACATCCAGGGGGCTCCCGCCAACGACTATGCCACCCTCACCAAGGCCTGCCTCAACGAGCCCAAATGCGTCGGCATCACCGTCTGGGGCGTCCGCGACCCTGTAAGAAACAACCCCCCCCCTATTGCCGATGCCGCATTTCGATAGAGTCGCATGCTGAATAGATGATACACAGGACTCGTGGAGGGCTAGTACCAACCCTCTGCTATTTGACAGCGGCTTCAACCCCAAGCCCGCGTACACCGCTATCGTCAACGCGCTCAAATAAACGGTTCGGAGAACAAATAAGCCAATGAATAGCGTACCGATGGTAGTCTATGATCGGTCATGAACATATGGGGATTCGGGAGGAGAGGCTTGAGATCTCAAGGCCTACCTAGCTGTATATACTGTCAGACTATATATACTTATATATATGTGTGTATCATACATGGGCAACACATAATAATAGTGGCACCACCAACCCGAAACAAAATCAAATTGTGGGAGAATGCGAGGGGGTAAGAAGCCACGGCAGTTCAAGCTGAACTGGAGGCTCCATAGCATTTAGCTGCTAGCAAAGGTAGGAAATCAGAGCTGTAGGTATGTATGTAGATATATCGAAACGCGGAAAACAAACCCTACCCTCCCCTCCCTCTCCTTCGTCCGTCGTACTCTGAACTAGATAGGTATAGAACAGAGACGAAAGGGAGCTAAAAGGAAAGGAGAGAGTTTATTCAGTGTCGAATTAAACCACCTCTCACCGCCGCGACCCAGCCTCAAATTAATCCTGTGTCTCTCGCCCTACCCACCCTACCCACTCCCCTCATCCCCATTATCATTCCTCCCCCTCCCCCTCCCCCTCCTGCTCTCAACTCCGTCCCCTGGCTCCCCCTATTTCCTGAACACGCTGAAGATCTTGTGCTTGAGCTTATCGGCGAGACCCTGGTTCGAGGGCGCGTTGGACGCTGTGGTGGGGGCGGTCGTTGCGGTGGAAGTGGCGGCGGCGGCGGCCTCCTTAGCCTCCTGCGGCGACTTCTGGTGCTCGGCGGCGAGGTGGATGTTGGCGGCGCCGCCGCGGCCGACGTGGTAGTCGCCGTCCTGGGAGACGCGGGTGGCCTCGGCGGGGATGACCTCGCGGTCGGCGCGCGTGGGGGAGGCAGGCGTTGAGACGTCGGCGATGTTGGCTGCGCCTGTATTTTTTTTTTTCCCACCCGGGGGGGGGTTGGAGTTAGAAAGGGGGATCTGTGGGTACGATATCGGAATGAGGACGGGGGGACGGGAGAGGAGGGTGAGTCAATTGGGGGAGGGGAGAGGGGAGAAGCTAGAGAGAAGAGAAGGGCGGCATCTTACCTCCTCGGCCGGTGCTGAAGGCGCCGTCGCCGTGGCTGCCCACCTGGCCCAGGCGCACGATCTCGCCGTCGACGTACTTGGTGTCGTCGGGGTTGATGTTGCCGGCCCCGCCGCGGCCGTGGGATACTTCGGGTGCGCCCGTCATCCTCGGATCTGCGCTGTCTGCGACCAGTAGGTGTGAGCCTGCTAGCCCACTCGCTGCCGGGCTACGCGCGAGCGGCCCGTGGTTGTGGCGGAATGGGGAGGGGTGGGGAGGGCGAGTGGAGGGAAAGTCGCATGCGGCGATGGGAGCGCTGGCGGTGGCCGCGATCCGTCCTCGTCGAGCCGACAGGTAGCGAATGAATTATTGGGGCGGATTTCCCCGCGGACGGGGACGGAGAGACGTGGCATTGAGGAATGGGGCACTCGGCCACTCACCTGGATTTGGCTGTATGGTGTCTCTGGCTGTGTCGAAGTAGGTGTTGAAGTTTGAGGTGTGGTGGATGGCTGGATGATGAGGATGTGTAAGGATGTAACTAAAGGTAGGACTGGATTTTCCTTTTGACAACCACATCGACGTATTATGGCAGGTAGGTACCTATGTTGGTAGGTACCTACCTCCTATCTACCTACGTCCTACTCTTCGAACAGGTACCTACCTCTACAACTCCGACCCTAGGCTAGGTTACCTGGTTGCCTACGGTGACCTCTCCAGCCGTGCTCCCACCTCCTTCGCACGCGCGGGCCCGTTCGAGTCACCAAGTGGACAGCGCCTCTGCCCGCCCGCCCTGATGAGCATCGTCTGACATTTTTTGCCTTCTACTTCTAACCTCACTTACCACACATACGATGTCACTGACACATAATACCTACGCCCATACGCCGGCGACGTATCCCCGCTTCCTACCCACGCGCACCACACGACCTATCAGTGCTAAGCAGTGAGCAATTATCGATAGTCATAACAACAATACCTAATACCCTCCTACCTAGGCCCAAGCAGAGGCCCACAATGTGTCGCCTCTAGCGAGCTTGGGTGTTGGCTAGCGAGCTGTCCTTATCAAAGTTGGTAGAGCGAACATCTCGAGGCTCTCGCAGCAGCCCCCGTAACCTTCACCTCCATCGTATCTTCCCAGAGTGATGGTACCAGCTGTGCACGCAGGTCGTTATATTCAGCAGATGCCTGCGTAGACCCCCAATCGACGAGCTGCCTCGGCCTCGTTATGCCGCCTCAGCGGCTGGATATCGCCTCGTATCATTGGTTTTCAGCTCCGTCGCAACGTGCGTGCCCTCTCGCATCCTCCCTACTCAGTAGGTATGTAAATACAGCTTATCGCCGTCGACTTGTTCACTGACGTAATTCCCCATTCTCATCCAATGATAAGATGCGCAGCTGCCATTGGCTCCGAATCGACCCCCGTAGGTCCCGCTAGCAGCTGCCAAGCTAAATAGTGTCTGGCCCCTACTTCACCGAGATAAGAGCAGGTGATGATTTGATAGGTAACTCCGCCCGTGATTACCTAAGGGAACTGGGTGCGTGGCTTAGATCAGGCTCCTAGAACAGGAACGGGGCCATTGCCTCTCTCTTTTTCGGTCTACTTCTCAACTGCCTGTTTTTTCCTTCTTCATGCAGACAAAATCCTCTTGCCGCCTCGTGCCGGGTGCCGGGCTGACTTCGGGCCTAGCCTGGGCAATAAGAAGGCGACGACATCGATCCTTGGCGACCGAGTCTCGCCGATAATACGCTGAATTTCCTGCTTGATCCAGACTCACCGAGCTAGGTACGGTAGTTTCAACGTCTCGCCTTACCACCTGCACATGCTCCCGCTTTAATCACGCATCGCCGCCTAGAATGACCTGTCGAGGACAGATGCCCTAGTGATCTACGCATGCTTCCATGCGTCAGACCCCTGCCCCACCCGGGGCCGGCCCTATGGGATGTCGCGAGCCACCGTTCCCCTCGAGTTGCGCAAGGCTGCAGCCCGCGTCGCGAGGCAGGCTGCCATGCCTGAGGTGCCAGGCCCGTCCGACGGTGTGGAGTCTACAGGCTTAACCTGCCTCCTCCTTCGGTGATGCGGGAGGTTGCCGGCTTTATATTCGTCAGGAGGACGAGGGGACGTGGCCGGATCCTAGCGCTAGGTACCTACCTAGATATGCCTACTTACCTACCTACCGAGGAAGCTGCCCGAGGATCCTCATGTGTACCTCATCGTCCTCGCCATGCCACATCAGCGTCATCATCTACTAGGCGGTGCAACTCCGGCGGCACTCGGCGAATCCTAGCCTGCGGCTTTTGGTTTTGTTATTTGTCGCCGTTTGTATTCCTCGGTGAACATCAATGAGGATGGGCAGGGCAATCCCGCAGTGATTTTGGAGATAAATGCCTCACATCTAGCGACCGCCTCGCGTATATGAAATGAGGGTTCAGGATATGTGCCCGTATATCCCGTCCACGTTGTCAAAGGGGGGTTGCCACCTACCTGTTGTCGGCTTCGGTGAGGTTTTCTACTGGCAGCTCCATGGATAGCGTGATCTCTACTCCGTCTGGTGTAACCATGATCGTGTAACCATCGCGAGAGAGGCTTACCAGGCAGAACCCGAATTTACCATACACCAAGGGAGGGGTGACGGCTTGGCTCGACAGATCTCCTGAACCGCCCCCGGCAATGTCCTATATTCCGGTGCGTCTCGAGCCTAGTAAACATAGGCAGCAACAGTTTACTGTAGTGCCAGTGGTTAGATTGCTAAAGGTCTCGATGGTCTCTCCAGCATGGGGTCGTAAGGAGGGTGGGTTATTGGACTGTGGTGACGCATATCGAAGTCGTGGGGGACTCTTCTAAGTCAAGCGAGCATCCAGACTCAGTTCCAGTATTCGGTCCAGTTTTTAACAAATGTTACGCTTGCGGATCCTCGGCCAATCTAGATCCCGCCAGCCTCCATCGACCCGGAGCCAGCACATAGGTATATGCTCTATCAGGAAACAGATATTAGAACATTCGATGGTGTCGCGTAGCACTAGGTCGGCGGCAAGCCGACCTTTGGAGACTAGTTAGGATAACAGCATACGCCGCAAGGAAAGGTACATTATCCAATCCTGGCCACGTTCCCCTGGTAGAGACAACTCCGGGGTTACCTCAATGTGCCTACGCTTTCCTAGCAGATGCGATGTATCCATCGATGGGCGCGTCAAATGAAGCGAGAATATGTACCTGCCGAACGCCTTTTTATTTTATTTTTTCGTGCCAGCAGAGGAGGAGAGAGAGGGAGAGCAGGGGAGAGAAAGCTGCACTCCTGCCGCCACGATGGTGGCATTCCCAACCGTGATATCTAAATTTCGACACGGACCCCCAAGCGGAATGAGTGATTCACGCCGATGGGCACCTACCTCGCTTATCCGGTCCAGATGCTAGACGGCTCGGGGCAGCGTGCGCACATGTAGTCGTTGACGAAAGAGGCTCGAAGGTGATTTGCCTGTCGTCGTATGCCCATACGGCCAGCACGGCGGAGGGCGCGTTGGCGGACTTGCGGACGGGGGCTAGAGCTTATACGGTGCATGCGAATGTAGGTAACTCGACGTGCCTGCTATGCACATACCCCTCTCTTCCCGACCTGAGGAGACGGGGGACGTTGAGCTCTACGTGTAGCCTAAACCTAGAGCCCGCGTCCGTCTAGCGCGTGCATATAGTACGGGACTGAGTGGTGATTGTTCCAAAGTTGCAGGTTCTAACAACGGAGAGAGTATCTCCACCCCCATCGAGAACCCCCCCGCGTAGTACTAGCCAACGAGTGCCGGAGCTAGCCGGAAGCTAGCACTTCCCAGCTGTGGGGAAAAGGTGGGAGGGGGTGTGGGGGAAAGGGGGTGGGGTCAGCATCGACGGTGGTATAGCCTATCCGTAACCTATACCGACCCCAACCTAGACCCGGCTGAGCTATGCAGGCTAAGGTTGAAATATCCTGTTTCCCCTCCCCCTCTCTTTCCTTTTTTTCCTCCTGTTGTCACCGAGTGATGGAGGAGAGAGGAGGAGGGAGAGGGCAGGAGACCTGTCTAAGTATACATACCTACACTTATATGTAGGTATATTACATACCTACCCATATGTATATGCCTAGGGTGACGCATATGTGTATGCATGTCTTATCCGCGCCACGACGCTGCCGCGGGTCGGGGTTGCAACGCGCCAAGGGGCCGAGCGGAGGGCTCGAAAGGGACCCAACGATGCACGGCGGGTCGGGCGAGGTGGTACCTACGGGAAGCAATGCAATGCCGTATCCAGGAACACCCTCGTCCTCCATCAGAGCGCCACCTCCGTAGTTCCGTGCCGCTAGCGGAATGGAAATTTGCTGCTCGCCTGAAGCGGAAACACACTGTCTACATCAAGGGGGGGAGGTACCTGCCTACCTAGGTATCTACCTATCTCTAGGTACTATAGGAGGTAGATACCTTGAGCTGTCTTACCTCCAATCAGTAGGTTACTTAACGAAGGATAGGTTCGGTTCCTAACAGCGCTACTTGGTAGTCTTCGCTAGGTAGGTATTTACCTCTAGCTCATCTACCTCCTAGAGGTAGGTACCTAGGTAGATACCTCTTAGACACAGCGGCAGGTGTCTAAGCTCCTACCTCCAACCTGCGTTCGGTACTTGGCACCTCACCTCCCCGCGCCAGGCAGTACTTACCTAGGTACCTAGGCAGTTGCTTCATGCCCACCTAGGTGAAAGTACCGACTCGGCTCACATCTTCCCTCGCATGCCGTATTATGTTGTGTTGTAGTGTTACCCACCCAGCATACCTACCTATGTACCTCCCTACCCTTTGGTGCATACCGCTTGGAGCTGGCCGAGCTGCTACTCTCTCTCTTTCTCTCTCTTTGTTTCTCTTTGTCTCTCTCTTCCTCTTCCTCTTCCTCCTCCTCCTCCTCCTCCCCTCTCTCTATCTCTCTCCTCCCTCTCCCCGTCGCCTCCTTTATCTAGGCGAGGCAGGCTGACGGCCGTCGATGGTGCCTACGTACGTGCAGCCTCATCGACGACACCGCCATCCCGGAACCGCCCGTTGGCGTTACAGGGGGAGAGGAAGAAGGGGGGAAGAGACAGCCCATATACGCGCCCGACACATGCCATGCTACCCTCGCCTGCATATACGTATATGTATGCCCGGCACACCCGGTCTGCCTGCCCGCCGCCTTAGATGCTGCCCCTGTAGACAGACAGCCGTTTCCGGGCTTGGCTGGGCTTCTTCTCGTATCTGGTCCCGAGGTGCTAGATAACTAACACAGGCTTCACACATGCAGCACAACATTATAAACCTCCCTCCCATCCTTCCTCAGTGCATCGTTGAACCCTCGCTCCCCCCGCTATTACGGCATCGTGTCGTCGACTAGCACTTCCAACACGTAGCCTACAGCACGGATAGCTTTCCCATGCTGCCTCAGCTCGCTCCATGGGCTCACTCGTAGTCAGGGCATGCCTTGCCCTCTCCCTCCTTACCTCTAGCTTTTCGTTTCCGCACGGCCCGTCCGCAAGGAAGCTTCGGCAGGCTAGAGACACCCCCGCCCGTGAGTCCGCTCGTGTGTGTGGAATCCCTCCATTACGTTAACTCGTGCGTGACAAGTCGTCCAGCCGATATACCGGCCTTTCCCACTCGGGTCGATCAAGCCGCGGGGATGGTTCAAAGACCAATTGACCCTGGAAGGCCTCGGGCTTGCCGGCAACCTGTTCGACTTCTACCGCTTTGTCCGTGATTCTATGTGGCTAGGCGGTTCGTCTGAGTATTCTACTCTTCACGAATCTTCTCCGTATTGGTTCAATGGCCTCGTGCCCCTGGCCTTCGGGTTGGACGATTCGAGGCTTCAGCGACAGGTCTTCTCATACCTGGATTACGTTCTTGACCACCAGCAGAGCGATGGCTGGTTCGGGCCCGAGACCACCCGTCAGACCCGAGGCTTATGGGCCCGCTGCTACTTCTTGCTCGGGCTCATGGTATGTTCCGCTTCTTTTGTATTCTTCTATTGCCGGCGATTTAAAAGCACCAGCTAAAGGTTTCCTGGCTAATCGGAATTTCCTTTCCAGCAATATGCCCAGGCCGATGCTTTGCTGAGGGATAGGATCGTGGATTCCATGCATCGATATGTCCAGCTCGCTCACAGCATGCTGAAAGACAACTTCACTGGCCTAATCCCTAAACAGGGTGACGAATTCGATGGGAGCGGATGGGGCCCTATGAGGGCCCATGAGATGCATATCCCGCTTCAATGGCTGTACGAAGAGCATCCTAGAAACAACTCGCAGATCATCTGGGAGACCCTGGAGCTCATGATTGAAGGAAGCGCAAAAGCTGGCGCCGACTGGAGAACGTATTGGGTAAAAGGAGTATACCCAGAGGTCATATACGACCCCCAACACCCACCCTATCATAGATTATTCAATCACGGTGTCAACGTGGCAGAAGGTTATAGTCTCACTCACGTAACGTGTCTCACGAAATATTGACTCACCAATGCGATCAGGCCTTCGCTATCCTCTGGCGATATACCGCATGACCCACGATGATTCATTAAGGACGCAGACCAGGACCGCGGTAGATCTGCTAGCACAGTACCACAAATCCTTGGCCGGCACGATCATCGCGGACGAATTTGTCACCGACCTGAACCCAAGCCGAGGCGCAGAATTGTGCACAGCTGCGGAGTTGGCATTCTCTATGGCTTACATTTATCAGTACCTAGGCGACAACGATTTGGCAGACTGGGCCGAACAGGTCACATTCAACGCCGTGCCGGCGTCCATCTTCCCAGACTGGTGGTCACACCAATATGTGCAGCAGGAGAACCAGGTAGGCAAGGGGACTTCCAAAAGGGACAGAATCTCAACAACTGACATGGAAAAAACCAAAAAAAAAATAGCCCTGGTCCCGCAATCTGTCCGTATATCCCGAGATGTGGTCGAATGTGGGTTCTCACGGGAATGTATTTGGACTAGAACCTGACTACGTAAGTAACATCTTCGTCCTTCGTCCACGTAGGCATCGTTTGCTAAACCGGCTAATAGCCCTGCTGTACCGTGAATCACCCTCAAGCCTACCCTAAGTTCCTCGCAAATTCGTTTGCTCTTACTGAGGACGGTGGGATCGCTCATATTCTGCTCTCACCCGGAAGCGTCGCTACTTCGCTAGGAAGCAACCAAGTGAAGATTGATGTCGATACGGCCTACCCATTCGGACACAGTCTAAGATACACGATAACGGCGAATGACGAATTCACGTTCTACGTGCGGATCCCGGGCTGGGCTGACGACAAGTCGAGCACCATTATCGGGGGTACATACGAACAGCCCCAGCCTCTCTCGCCGTCGGATAAGGGGCTCCAGAAGGTCCGGGTCGGCAAAGGTCTGAGCTCCTTAACCGTCAACCTGGATACGCAGCCGCGTGTAGTCACCCGGGCAAACAACACAGCGGCCGTGTACTACGGCGCGTTGCTGTACAGCCTCGCTATCGACACGCGCGTGACCGAGGTGCCGTTGGTCGCGTATGACGGTGGGGAGGTCCCGTTCTCGAGCACGACACCCCATACGCATGACCACGAGATCGAGCCGACGAGCACGTGGAACGTGGCCATAGACCCGTCGCAGATCAAGGTGGTACGCGCCAGAAACGCGGGCCAAAACGGCGACGGCGACGCCGCGGCCCCGGACGCGCCCCTGAGCAACCCAGTCTGGGACATCGGCGGCTCGCCTGTCGAGCTCCGCGTCGCAGCCGTCGAGATCGACTGGCCGCTCGCGTTCGACTCGGCGGCGGACCCACCCCTGGAGCCTAGAGTGACGGGGAAACCGTTCGCCGCGCGCTTCGTACCCTTCGGCAGCGCCAAGATCCACATGGCGCACCTGCCGGTCGTCCAGCTCGCCAAGGTGGACCTGGACGCGGCGGAGAAGGAAGGGGGGAGGTGATAAAGGCGGGGTGGGTAGAGGATAGGTAGATGGGATGAAGGGAAAAGGGGAGAGACGGTGGACGATGACGGGTTGTGCTGTCGTAACGGGTGAATGAGATGGCTGAAATGAGAACGAGAGAGCAAGCGTGGCATAAGAAACGGGGACCAGCGGGCAACTCGATTGTCGGGAAGATGTATAGGAATGTACACGTGCGGTGCAGATAGGATTAGAGGATCTCGTTGGAAATACCTATATGCCGCATAGCCCTCCGGCATAACGCCTGCATCTGACGATTGTCGTCGAGTGGTTTTCTTTTCTCGGTGGGAGAGAGGAGGGATGAGCTTTGGGGCCGTTCTGTAACCTGCTCGGGGAGGAATAGGGGTAGTTGGGGATATCGTCTCTAGGCCACCCTCCTCGTTCTCTCCCGCCCTGAACCTTTTCCTTTCCTTTCTCTCTTTTTTTCTATTAAAAAAACATTGGGGTTATTAATGTTACTGTTAGGATAAAATCTTCAGTTTAACCACCATTTTTATGAACCGCTACTCCGTGGGACCGATATGGTTGCTAACTGCCTCTATGTGTATTGTATCACCGCTCCCAACGCCATACCTAGCAGGATAATACATCGGAATTACACCAACATGCTTGAACCTCGACGAGATGGACTGACTATTTACTAGCTGGTAACTTCTTCATTATTTTGAGTGAAAATTCCGCACGTGGAAATGCTATGCGACCTAGCTTTTACACGCAAAAAGGCCCCTATATATCCCCTTCCCCCTTCCCCCCCCCAAGCGCCCGGCATCCAAACCCATTTTGTTTTGCAACTCAGGGGGTTCCCTCGCGAGTTGGCTTTGCGTCCTTCTTGCTTAGAAAGCTCCTCCGCAAGCTGCTTCGAGGGCTCTCCGAGTTCGCTTCCACAAATGAACTCTTGAGCACCACCGTCCCTGCGCCGACCTTGATCTCCTTTTCGCCACCACCAGTCTCGTCTACGAAGTACAACGTTTCGCCCAGGTCGTCGTCGCTACCAAATGTGTGGTGATCCTTGACCTCGATACGGAACTGTGTATCGGCCGTACAGGTAAGCTTGAATGATTCGTCGAATCGAACCCCTTCCGAGACTTGACGGTGCTTAGTCTTGCCGATGGTCTTCTCCTTGGGCGTAAGCTGTTTGATTAGGACATAGACGTCTGATGACGGAGGATACCCCGATGCGGACACTACGGTAAAGGTGGCAGTCCCAGAGCCGGCACTGCCTGGGGCTAAACTGTGGATAGATGCCCCACCCATACTGGGATTGCGTACGTGATGCTTGGCTCCCCCATTAGGCGTGACAGGGCGAGCGGAATCTCCGTCGGTGGTTAGTCCCGTAGACCGCTTGAGGCCCATTCCGAGTGTGGGTGCATCCGGACCGTCCGTTACGATTGTGGGAACTTCGGAGATGCTGGAGCTCGGGGCCAAACCGTTGCTTTCCTCTTCCTTCTTGCCTCGAGTTACACGTTTGATAAAACTAGCACCTTTGCCGACCCCGTGACCGACAACACCGGCAACCGCTACGCCACCTTTAACGGGAGCACCGACAACGCCGGTCACAATTTTGCCGGGGCCGCCGAAGGTGCCCGAGAACGTGCTGGTGCCTAGTCGGACGCGTGTGATGTAATCCGGCCGGAACAGAAGTCGAAGCTTGATGGAACCAGACTTGCCGTCTAGGAGTAGGTTAAGCTCCTTAGCCTTAAACGGGTCGAGCTGCTCAAGATTTATATCGGTGCCACCTAGGAAGTCGGGCTTGTCCGCGAAATCATAATCGTAGACCTTGCAGACGAACTTTGCTGCGGTCCGTGATGGTACAGCGACTTCGAAGAATTCATTCCATGAGGGGTTGAGAGTCTTCTTCTGTGTCTTGGTCTTGAACACGTCTTGCCCATTAAGCTCAAATTTGCAATAGGGGTCGCTTTTTCCGTTCGAGTCGGCGGCAGGCAGATCGGTGGCGCTTATCACATCGACGCGGAGATTTCCCATGTTGTTGATGCTCTCGCTGGGATCTAGACGCATTTTGACAGGGATGTACTTCAAGCTGACCTTTATCGTCGCCGTTCTGTTGTCTTCATCTTTGAGCCTCAAAATAGTTGGGTTGTTCTAGGACCGGTTAGCAGCAGGACGGAGAGATATAGCGCCGCGGAGATACTTACCAAGCATTGTTTCAGAGTATCTAACGTGTTCCCCGTCAAGCGAGCCACAGTATGGTCCTCGTCACGCTCTTCGCCCGGCTTTTCACGCTTCTCCCTCACCTTGAGGGTCAATCGCGAGAAGTCCAGTTCGCGAATGAAGCAGTCTCCAATCTCGTCAAATTTGAACACCTTATTTTTGGCTGTGCCGGAGATGTAGGAGGGATACAGCATGTCGTCGACAGATATCTCGAGATGTGTCCCGCTCTTCGGCATCTCACCTTCAAGCAGCTTGAAAATGAGGAACCCGGATTCGTGCTTGAGCAATTCCTGGGGGGTAAGATGAACCTTGGGAGGTTCTCTCGGTGCTTCGCGAGATTTTCGCTCCGAGGTTGTCGATACAGGAGAAACGGGCGACTTCGGCACGGTTGGCGTAGTTGGCGTAGTCGGGTCTCTGCTGGTCTCCTTCCTCTCCAGCGTCGAAATCTTCCCAGCCCCCGCTGATCGAGGAACATCTAGCGACTGCCTGGGGGCCTCCGAAGTCGCGTCCTTGTCTTTCGCCGTTTCCTCCTCCTTCTCTTCCTCCTCCTCGGGATCAGCGACGTTGAGACATGGGAAAAACGAAACAGTATAGGTAAGTGTGCCCTTCGCGATACCCTTCCCGTGCAACCGGAGGGCCCCTTCGTGTACCCTCTTTGTGTCGTTGACAAGATATTCGCCAGTTTCGTCTTGCGTGATGTATTCGCCGGCGAAAACCTCGACTTGACCTAAGCTACGATCTTTGCCCATCTTCTCGGCGTCCATGACGTCGAGCGTGAGGCGGTCCCTAGTCGAGTGCATCGGTACGTAGATGACTTCGTCCCATTCGGGGTTCAACGTGTTCCGGTGGGTTACCGTTCGACCCTTCTCGATACCGGACAAAAGCACGCGGACGTAGGGGTCTGATTTGCCCATGGTTTCGAAATTCCTGAGATCGTGAGCACTCTTGAAGTGGAGACGCATGACGCCGATGGGGGTCTGGTAGCCTCCGGTGCCGGCTAGAACACCGGACAGAGCAACCGGCTTCCACTGAGCAGTAAGTTTCGCTCGCCCGGTCTTCACGCCAGATAGATTGTACCAGTCCTGGCCCTTCTCCATCATCTCGAGTATGTCATTGAGCTTGATCTGGTACGTGCCTACCAGTTGATCACCAGCGATTTCGCGGTCATCTTTGATAGCAAGTCCCAACCTGGCATTCTTCCGGTCGGTAATGAGAATTTCCTTGGACCCGTTATCCCAAATCGGATTGTTTGTCCGCTTGAGCCTCTTGGTCTGGTGGACTTCCTTTCCGTTGAGCAGCAAAACAGCGTACGGATTGAGTGAGCCGATCAAACTCTTGCTGCCGTCAAGATCCTTGGCCGACTCGACCGTATAACGCAAAATACCCGTATTTGTTTCGGGTGGAGGTTCCATTTTGCCGTCAACTTCTGTCGCCTCTAGGACGGGGAAGAAGCGAATGTCAGCGTTAATCACGCCTCGAGCCTTGCCATTGGCGATGACCTCCATGCGTTCGTTCTCGTACACGTTTATCTCCTCCACCCTTTCGAGCGGGAATGATGCGATGCCGAGCTCCTTGTCCTTGCGGAAATCGTTGTAGTCGTATATAATAAGGTCGAGTGAATCGTTGAACGAGGTAATAATGACATAGTGTGTCTCATTCCACCTGGGACTCGTCGTGTCCTTGACAACTTTAGTCTGGGCGAGCGGGGCACGCTTATTCAAGGTGACCACGGTATACGGATCGGGGTTACCGGCGAAGTTGTCGGGGTTCTTGAGCCCTTGAGCGCCGTGGAGCGTGATGGCGATCACGCCGATGGCTTGGTCAACTGGATTTCCGGCAAGCATCTTGGCTACTTCGATAGGGAAGACGTTCGGAGCATACATCATCGGGGCAAGGTTTCCGTGGATCTGCTCCTGAATGAAGCTTTCCAAACCCGGGATGAAGTTGATATCAAAACCAAAGGTTTCTCCACCCAGGGGCTTACAGACATAGTCGATCTTCGGGCGGTCGAGGAAGCACATTTCTATTTTCTCGATATGGGGGAAGGGGAATTGGAGCTTCATCTTGAGGCGCATGGTTCCGGAGAAAGCCATGTCCTCCACGATGACATCGAGGCCTTTGCTAACCATGGCTTTGCCAATACGGATTTCAAGAACGACTTTGGGATTAATCTTGTTCTTGATCTGGTGCTTCGTCATGTCTGCCGTGTCGTTAGGGGTGAAGCTGAACGTCCAATCCATGATGACGGTGTCGTCTTCAGCCTTGGGATACGTTTTGACGTGGTCCATCCTGGGGGGTTTGGACCCGAGGGTGAACGTCTTCAGCCGCAAGCTGTCTAGAAAAGAAGGAGTCGCAGAGCTCAAAACTTGGTCGACGGAATTGACGATGGTTTGGGCAAGAACTGGCTGGTAGATGGGCCAGAATTTAACCAAGAACGAATTGATCCACTCAATGGATTCGTGGTCGTGGTCCAATTTCTTCAGCGCCATTTCTCGGGTTATGTCGTCGCGGAAGTTCCGCCGGACTCGTCTAATCGATGTGCGGTAGTACGTAGAGCAAGCGGCCATGATGAGGATGACCCAGCCCAAACCACCCCCCAGCACCGCAACAAGCCATGACGAGAGGCAAGCAAAGATTATTACCGCGGCGTTGTGATACCACTCTGTAGAAGACGCGGGCGTTAGCGACCGTCGCTCACGCATAACATGCAGTGTCGATAGACCAACCTCCGAAAAGAGTATCGGCAAGATTCTCCTCAACCCAAGTAGAATGGTCCAACAAGCTCTCGCCTTCGGTTACGCTGTCGACAGGCCAGCCAAACCGCTGCGTCCATCCGACCAAGGCAGCCAGGTCCTCCTCCTCCTCAGCGGTGTTGCCATCTGTAATCGGTCTGCCGTCCTTGTCTTTGGGGTTTTCAATAGCGCCAGCTTTCGAAGGGGTGGGCAGGTCGTAGTTGACCTGGCTACCGTCGTCGACATCCGTAGCTAGAGCGATACCTTTCGGCTTTCGTGAGCGGCGGAGATCATTCGGGATGGCCTACGAGAAGCAGCGGGGGTTAGCGATGTAGATATTGCAACGAGGGGGCTGATGCCAGAGGGTCGACATACCGCCCTGGCCTGAGCCCTCTTCTCCTCCGGACTCGCATCCGGGTCGAAGGTGAAAGCAGTCACGCCCGCATTTTGGCTCTCCTCAACCAATTTCTTCTGGGCATCGTCGGCAGTAACTTCCGATCCGGGATCGCGGGAGGCTTCGAGCGCCCCCTGCTGCTTCAGCTCGCTGGCCTCTCGTGCCGTAGCCATGATTACTGCCGGGGAGGAAGTGTCGGTGCTGCTAGAGCAGCTCAAACGCGCAAGAGGGGAGGATAGTTGGCGAGGGGTTATACGGCACACACAATCATCGAAGAGGGGGCCGCGGGCGAGCAGGGAAGGCGGGTTAAAGAATTGGACTACGTCAAATGGACGTGTGCTGCTCTCTTCTCCCCCCCCCTTTTTGTGCGTGGCTGGGTGGCTGGTGTCGAAGGCTAGATTGCTAGCAAGATACTTAGGTCGTCCCGAACGGTCGATGACTGGGGACTATTAGGTGCTCATTAGTAGGGTGCGATGCCTGGCGGATAGCAAGACGTAAGGGCGAGTGGGCGAAGAAGCTAGAGCAGACGGCTCCGATCAGCAGTTTTTAGTCTCGTTACAACTGCTGTGCTCTCTGCCTCCCAATTAGAGGTTCGGGCGATCCGGCAGAGGTCGGGGGAGGGAAGGTCAGGAAAATACAAGAACAGCGGGAGGAGAGGGGAAAGGGAGAAAGGGGAGATAGGAGATAGGCGGAGAAGCAGAAGGAGGAAGAAAGAGAAGAAGAGGGAGAAGGTGAAGTTGGCGATGGCTACGCAAATAAGCTTGGGAGGAGGGAGCACGATCCGGAAAGACACGCAGCATCATCATCATGTCCATCTCATAGACGTCCTAGTGCGGACCGGCCATGTACTTGCACTGGGCAGACACAGGCATTGGGTACATCCACACATTCGGCACACCCTTCCCTCTGCGTCCAGAGCTGGCCTTTCTCGCAGCGACAGCTTTGAGCGGTCCCGAACTCGTCTAATGGAAGCCCATGTGGGGACTGAGGGACGTACCGAAGACCTGTCCAGCTGCCGCGGAGGGGATAGGCAGGTACGTGGCGGGTACACGACGGGGACCAGCGTGGTGCGGCGTACGTGCGGCGGCGTACGTGGTAGAGGTAAGGTAGCGGCAGGGTATCTCAGCATGCTGGCGATCGGGGAGTCCAGCCCACGCGGTTCCAAACGACGTAATCTCGCCAGGGATCTCATCGCCCACGCATTGGCTAGTTCGCCTGGTCCGGCCAATGGGCGCGACCGATTCAGGGCGACAGCCAGTTTCGAGCTGACCTTTACATATATTACTACCTACCCAGGCACTGCTACCCTAGGTAGGTGCATAGCGCATGGTACTTCCCTACCTCCCGACCTATACGGACCTCAACGACCTCGGATACCTGCCGTGTACTCATGGATGGTGCAGATCAGGAGGCAAGCCACGATCTTAGGTGTGTACCACACATACGGACATACCTCCTCTCCCAGCTACCTTTCTCTTCTCCGCAGAATCCTACCTCTACCCAGGTTAGGTACCTAACTCTCTCGCAGGCATTTGCACGTTACTCAGCCTACCTACCTGCATACACGAGGGATGTATGCAAGTAGGTACCTATATATACCTACATTAGGTACCTAGGTAGATATCTACATACATATCTACATACATATCTACATATCTACATACGCCTCCCCTCTTCCTTTTTAGGCGTAATGCTAGACGGTACTTTAGGTTACGAGGCATCTAACTGAGGTGTGAAAGGCAAGCAAGGTTACCGAGAAGTACGCGATGCCCCTATACACCATGCGAGGAAAGGGAGGGCAAAGCATAGGAGGGTACGCACGCACGTACATAGGTACGTACGTAACTGGAAATATAGGCATGTCGGGTGCCAAACCCAGGTACCTAACTGATCTCAGCAACCCCCTGGCACCAGTAAGTTAGGTACGTGGTAGGTACCTACAGTAGGTAGAATGTGGCGAATGCGACTATGGTAGTAGGCCTCAGCAAGCCTTCCCCTTCGGGTTGCTAGCAGCACGTCCAACCCTGATTTTTCGGCCTCCCCAACGGCGGTGCCAGGTTTTTTGTCAGCTTCGCAAACATTGATAACATCATCTCTTCTCTTCTTCCTCCCTATCGACTAGACGCAAACATGGCCGAAAAACATGATCGCGGTCAACCCCGGCCCGGGCCAGCAGACACGAGCAGCCACAGGTTCCGGTAACGACCCAGCTCCCAGCTCGGCGGCGACGCGATCACCAGCCAGCTAGTCCTGTCCACGGGCTCTTCCCACTGGCTATATCCCTGCGTCAAAGCTAACGATCGCTGCGTCGGAGACCTAGCCCAAGGACAACCCAGCCGCCCTGAGACCGCAAGTATACCTACGCAAGCCTCTCCCGCCGTGCCTGTAAAGCTGAGCGCTTCCGCCTCTTATCTATCTGGTGTTACCGTCTTGGGTACATGCCGTATACATGGGCGCGTATGTGCGCCGCTTGCTTTTTCTCTCTCGGCAAAGTACAGTAATATCACAGTGATATCGTTGGGAGTGACTCTGTAGGCCATCTCTTCCTTACCCTCCTTCGTCCGGGCCCTAAGACGGCACAGACGGCACGAATGGCAGATCGGGACAGGACAGCGGGCGTCACCTTCATCGCCACTGTGTACTGCTGCCCACCATCGTCATCACCAAACATCTAGCGCCGCGATTCTTTCCGCACGCTCCCTTTCTCTTTACTGTCCTTGCTGGACAGCGCCGCAGTGAAGGAGAAAGCGAAGGCTGCCACTCTCTTCCCCTACGCATCGCGAGACGGCCCGCCCTGCTTAAATCGGGGGGTTGATTCCGATTTGCCGGTGCATGTCTACTGAATGGATTCATTCCCAGCACCGACTATTAATTACCTCAACTCCCCTTCTAGATGTCGTCTGCGCATTGAGCAACTTGGTTCGCCGCTCCCAATAACTCGCTCATCAGCCAGCCCCGATCAGTTAGAAATGCACATAAAAAGGAGGGGGCGGCGCTTAAGGACCCTACTTAGGATACATACCTAGATCGCCCGGGACAGGTATTGTTGCGGATGGTGCCAAGCAACGTACACGACACCTAGGTCCCCGGATTCGCGCATGAAGGCCATCATCAGGTTCGAGGGAAACCCACGGCTGAAAAGTCGGCCATCGCCGCCGCTACTGCTGCTCCTATAGATAGCGGTCCGCCAGCCCGTCGTTTTGCCCTTGGGACCTTTGTCACCAGCCCTCGTGGCCACGAAGCGGCCGTCCTTCCTTTCTCTTGGCTCGCATTTACCTCGGGCCAATTAATTCTCGCCATCTATCTCGACCGCTCCTCTCTCGGTCTTTAACGGCGAGGCCGCCACCTTAGCTCCCTCTCGCTACTTGAACCGGGAGACGAGCGTTGAGCGTTGTTAGCCATTTTCCCCAGCCACCGCCGCGAGAACTAAGTAGGCAGGCATGTTGATTTGGTAAAGGAAGCGTTCGTAAAACGGGCCTCGGGTTTCCCACGAATATCAAAACACGCACGGATTGCTGGGGTGGACACGGCATGTAGCACCACGCAAGGTAATTACGGCTGACATGGTAGGTATATTTACCTACCAGCGCATGGGCTATTATAGAGTTCCTGGGAAAACCCAGTTAGGGATATCGACGACGTCTTCCTCTCGCCCCACCATCGTCAAGTTTTTGCCACGTCGCCATCCCTAGACGAGCAGAGGTTGTAGTTAGCGTCCTAGCTCCCTCTCTCAGTACTCACAGTTATCAGGGTATAGTATACTGGCACAGCGACGGAGCGATCGCCCAGAGAACATCCTATGTATTTATTGGGCGAGATAAGAAGAACCAACCGTTTGATCCAATAGCACGAGGTTAGGACTATCAGCTGTAGGCACGTGACAATCCCCCCTACTATCATCAAACGCTCTTGCGATGAAGCTGATCTGGAATGACTCGCTGTAAGGAATATTCAGGAGGCCCAGGTCAGTCAATGGGTGTCCAGGAGACCTTAGTTCTAGGACATAGGTATAGGGTTATCGAAATAGTAACCACCCTCTTGGTTAGAATCGGTGTCCACGAATCTATGCATATTTGCCCTGTCCACACCAAACTGTCCCTCCATTACAGCTATAAGCTCCACTGGAACCACGACGTAATCGATGTTGCTCTATCCTCTCAGGCCGTGCCGATGGTGGTTGGTGACCGGACGTCCGATACGCCGGCGCTACGTTACAATACTTACGTCTACTATATACCTGCGACGGTTCGGCATTAGCACACGATGTTTCTGTATCCATTGGTGGGATATACTGCCCAACAGAGTGCCACGAGGCGAAGCGGTTAGAAGCGTGCAGATGCCTGATTTAGTAGTAAGGTTTAAATATCAATCCGCCCTCGGCAACCATCTTGTTGTCACCGCGCGCACGCATGACTGTAGCATACCTACCTACCTACAATACACTGCCGAGACGCCGGCAACTGTTAGAGTGCCCCTAAAATAGCAGCTAAGTTGCGACTAGATCCTGAAGTCGAGAGCGAGGGACAGAGAAGCGGCTAGGCTGAAGATCCATAAACTCGGGAGGCTGGAGGTGCGCCTTGGCTTCAACCTCTCACCTCGGAGAGGTGACTGCAGGAGAGATAGAATGAATCCTGCATTCCACGTCTTACAGCAGTGCTCGAGTGCATGATCCCGGCGTCCGCTTCCCGCAGGCTTATCGTAGCTAACTAACACTCCGGTCTTAATTATTTACGGGCAGCCTCCTGGTAAGGTCGTCTCGCTGGGGTCTAAAGAGGGACGGACTCGGACCGAGGAACATATTCGGTGGCAGTAGACGGCCGAAGAGAAGGGGCCTCAACTCGTACGCCTCGTAGCTGTGCGAAGGGCGACGTTGGAACATTCCTAGCACCCATCTCCATAGTGCCGTAGGACAGCATAATCGTGGACGTTTCATAGCGGTGCTCGTTGAAAGGAACCAGAGCATTATTACCGCACTACCTCAAGTGGTCGTTGGCATTGTGTGTTCAAGGCAAATGAATAACTCGCACCGCCCTGCCTTTGCTGGTACGTCAAGAGCTTGCCCCCTCGAACTTGGTAGATTGTGGAGATCGTCCTCGCCTTTCTACACACCGCAGTGCTACATCGCATACGATTAGGATATGTCACCACGAGGTATGAGCCGCTCCTCGGCCTGGACCTTATAGGGTGGGTCGTACGTGCTGGCGTCTATCAATAAACGTAGTTTGGATGGGGCCTTAGTCCGCGACGGTGACACTCGCGTTCCTAGTCGGACATCGTTGCTCGGAAACCCCCCTACTAGTCAAACCACTACAAGCGTCATCATAAATCCTTCCACGGCAACCCTTTGGAGAAGGTTAACGATGATTGCCAGGCTAAATAAAGGTTAGAAACACACAAGGGGGCTATAATACTTGTGAGGCGGTATCATAAAGCGCGGTACATCTAGCAGAATACTGTATTAGTTGCTTATCCGCGTGAGCTTGCATTCGAGATAGGAAGTAGACCCGCATTATACTGGATGAGAGCAGAAGCGTGCTTCTTAGTGATGAGCTCTGCATGAAGACGGGAACCTTGACCGTCGGCAATAGAGATAGAGATGGGTTTAGGGAATGTAAAAGTTGGGTTTATATCTAAAAGCACTCATTAAAATCCAGAACCTAAGCACTTCAACAGGTATGGCCTTGTGTCATACAGGAAGCTCTCTAAGCCAGGATTGCCATCCGAACGATTATAACTGTCTACGTCTTCCTAGGGCACCTTGTTGGTAACTTTGAAGATCCGGGGTTGGTATCAAGCCTAATCGTCGCTAAGAGTTTCCCTTTTTCAGGCAGCATTATTGTGTCTCACATGTAACTGTTGTTAATATTCGCCTGCACGTGCCTAAGAAATTGATTCATAGTTGT